TAGTGACGGATTTGAAATTTTGGCGAGGGTGGCTCGTGAATAAATTCTTCGAGCAGAATACGAAACCGAAACTGCAATCTGAAACCTACCGCAAGTCGAGACTACACGCCCCCAGAAAGTCGAGCGCCGAAACCAAGCGTATTACGGCCAGCCTGAAATACGAGCCTCAGAGCTGTCCCATCCCAAGTGCTGGCTTCTTCTATTGGTCCCGAAATTGTTTGTTCCTCGCTACCCTCGTCAAAGCCACCCCTGCTTTTGGAACCTCGCCCACCAATCAAGCTCGCCGTTTTCCAACCAGGCGTAATACTCTAGGAAATACGGGATGCGGGCTTTAAACGCTTAGCTTGTATCACAAACGGAGCAGCACAAATCCGAGTCAACGGTCACCTCCGTCAGGAAATCGCGTTCTCCGCTTCCCATCCGCGCGTTCCCCGATAAAGGCGACGCTAGCGAATCTCCCGCTCTAGACGCTTAGCGCATCTCTCTCTTGAAGCACCACCGCATCGGGCGCTTCGCTTACTACGCTCGCTGATGTTCGCGTAGGTTCGCCAGGCACCCACGCTAGGACAGTACTGCGTCGTCTCGGCCTGTACTGTGAAAAGATGAATTTCATATCCGAATCGCAGGTTAGTGGAAGTTCCAGGTACGCCTGTCCGTGTAACGAGTCTATTTTACACACGAAGCCTGTCGACTCAAAAATAGACTCACGAAGTTCCAGGAACGTCTGTCCTGGTTGCTCTTGAGGCGCCTCAAAAGCTGTCCTGGTTGCTGTTTCCGAATCGCAAGTTAATTACGATCTTCTTTTCCGTTGCCATCACCGCATAGCATGCCCCCGCGACATACTCTTTGCCTACTCTTCAATCAGGTCCAATCTTACATTTTGGTCTACTCCCCATTGTGTCACACCGCCCCATTTTGTCACACCCCCTTTGTGTCACACCCCCGTTTTGTCATATCCCCCATTGTGTCACACCCTCCCTTGTATCACCATGGCCAGTTGGAGGAGAACAAGCGGGTGCGAGGGGAGAGAGTGGAGGATGGCACTGTAACGGTGGACAGGCCCCTGTACGAGGTACAAGGATGTTACAATAACGGTACCAAAGGGTTTGTACGAGGTATGGGGGATGGGCGCGGATGGTACTATAGAGATAGGTAGGATGGCAATGTACCACCAGCGGCTGGCCACCGTGAGAGGCTATGGGGATGGTACTATAACGGTGCATAGCATAGCATTAGACTACGTGGTTTTGTGGGTGGCACTAAAACGGTGGGAAAAGCTGCCTGAGGGTTCAGTTGTCTGTTTGGTCTGCTTCTCGGTGTTGCTGGGTTCTGTTGTAGATGCATCTGCAGCTTTCTGCTCTCCTTGCTGTTCCCCTTGATGCTCCCCTTGATGCTCCCCTTGATGCTCCCCTTGATGCTCCCCTTGATGCTCCCCTTGATGCTCCCCTTGCTGTTCTCCTTGATGCTCCCCTTGCTGCTCCCCTTGATGCTCCCCTTGATGCTCCCCTTGCTGCTCCCCTTGATGCTCCCCTTGCTGCTCCCCTTGATGCTCCCCTTGATGCTCCCCTTGCTGCTCCCCTTGATGCTCCCCTTGCTGCTCCCCTTGCTGCTCCCCTTGATGCTCCCCTTGCTGCTCCCCTTGCTGCTCCTCCTGTCCGGATCACTGCGTCGTGTGTCCGATTCAGCTGATCTGATTTTTGAGGCGCCTCAAAAGCCGATTCAGCTGATCTGATAGCCGGCTGCACAGCCTTAAAGCTGACGATCGTTCATCCCCAGTGTTGGAAGTGTGTCTACCAATCACCACCATCCATTCCAGATTCTGAGAGACCAGAAGGAGACGAAGGAAGCTGAGCACGAGGAGAAGGCTTTTGAGCCGACTCAAAGGCTTCTGTGTTGGATTTGTTTCTACCGTGGTTCCAGATTCTTAGGGAGCAGAAGGAGAAGAAGGAAGCTGAGCACAAGGAGAAGTTTAAAAACCGTAAGCCAAAAGCATTTGGTGTAGTCATAGCCAGGGCGCAGTAACCATCTTTGTAACACTATGCCAGCGCAGCAGAGGGAGAGTAGCACTCCGCACATAACGCCATACATTGGTTTGTTTGAATTATTGTTTTTGTAACATGAAAGTAAGTTTTTCCTCTTCGCTGCAGCCCACCCTGACGCTTAATGGCAACATGCGATGGAATCACTCCATTTCGCCCATTCCAAGCCCATTCTGCTCACGCTTGTTTCGGATTTGCTGGTATTTGTTGTGTTGTTTCTCTACCCATCAGGCCCACCAAGGGCGTTGGACGAGGTGTTGCTGCTTGGGCGTTGGCCCATCAGACGCTGGATGCCTCAATTGCTACCACATGTCTCGAACGCTCACACATGTGGAGTCCATTTTTGAGGCGCCTCAAATATAAACGTTCATGCATCAATCAAACGCCGTCTTCATCAATCATGCTTCAATCATGCTTCAATCATGCTTGTGTTCTGTTTCTATTTCGACCACCAGGCCCCCCACGAGCACTAGACGAGGACGAGCTTGAATTTCTTGAGGCTGTCGCTCAGGTCAGTTCTCCTTAAACAGTCTTACGGGTTGTTTGAAGCAGTTTAGAAACCATTCCCCCCCCCCCTAAAAGGTCGAACTTAATGCGGGTTAGTTAGTTGGTTGAAAAACTAGCAATGCTCAGTTCTTCCGGGTGGTCCACAAGCTTGCTCTGTGCATTCGTCTGACTTTTCAGGGTGTTTTTGAGAATTCTCAAAAACACCCTGCAATATCAATGCTCAGTTCTTCCCGGTGGTCCACAAGCTTGCTCTGTGCATTCACCTGACGTCCGCACACGTGGGCCAAACAAGTGCGTGAGTTGCCTATCCCGTGTGTGCTTTTGTGACTCACAGAAGCAAAGAGAGGATGAGAAGGAGAAGGACGACGAGGACAAGCGAGCACTCACTGAGTTCCAGGTGCGAGCCTTAGCTCCCTGACTTCAAAAATGACTTCAATGGCTAGCATGCCTTAGCTCCTGCGCATGCTAGCCGTTGAAGTCATTTTTGAGAGTTCTAAAATAATGATTCCAGGTGTGTGCATTGCCCTTGCGCATGCTAGCGTTCGGTATATGCCATGCTTTGTATGCATCACCTCATGTTACCCATTCCACCCATCATTGACCATCACCCAGGCTGCATTCCTGAGCCGAGCAGTCCCTGATGACACGCATGCTGCTCCTGATGCGACTTCGTGGCGCCTATAACATCCTTCCATGATTAGTTTTGAGGCGCCTCAAAACTAGACTTCGTGGCGCCTATAACATCCTTCCATGATTAGTTTTGAGGCGCCTCAAAACTAGACTTCGTGGCGCCTATAACATCCTTCCATGATTAGTTTTGAGGCGCCTCAAAACTAGACTTCGTGGCGCCTAAAAATCCTTCCATGATTAGTTTTGAGGCGCCTCAAAACTAGACTTCGTGGCGCCTAAAACATCCTTCCATGATTAGTTTTGAGGTGCCTCAAAACTAGACTTCGTGGCGCCTAAAACATCCTTCCATGATGGACTATCACCCAGGCAGCTCTTCTGAGCGGAACAGTCATCGCTGGCGGCCATGCTGCTTCTGCCCCGTTGGCGGCCATGCTTCTCCTGCCCCGTTGGCGGCCATGCTTCTCCTGCCCCGTTGGCGGCCATGCTTCTCCTGAAACAGCGCCGTCACAATCGTCTTGCTCTCCTGGCTTCGTGTGTCACTCCTTCCACTTCACCTTTTCACATTCTTGACCCCTCTCCGTACAGGCCGCACTCTTGAGCCGAACAGTCACCGTCGATTCCCATTCTGCTCCCGAGACGGCACCGCCCTCGCAAGCATCTGCCCCCTCTGGCTCTTCTGGCTCGTCCCTGGTGGCTACTATTCGGAAAAGAAAGGAGCCGGATCTTCCTCTCATTCCTCGCATGGGAGTCAAGGTCCAGCTCAAGGCGAAGCCAAAGGCTAAGGCAGGTGCTCCAGCTCCCCAGTCCAAGTCTAATGTTAGTAACTCTCCAAAAGCTCTTAGTAGAGGTTTGGATGGAACTAATAGTACTGTAGAAGATGCTTCTATTACTTGTGGTCAAGGGAAGGGGAGTGGTGAAGAGGACGAGGCAACAAGACAGAAGCAGAAAGTTATGAGAACCAGGGATGTGGAAAGTGAGAAAGATGGAGGATCTTTGGTTGGTAGTTTGGGGCTTGGAGCATATGGTAGTGATGATGATGATGACGAAGACAATGAATAAGCGGCTAGTCCATTGTGTTTCTTTTGTGGCTTTTTTTTTGCATAATCATCGTTCAATTACAAGTGGGCCTGGTTAAGTAGCATGTTTACAATGAAAGCTTGGGTATAGGTGCTGATCTGGCCCTCTAAACTCTCCAGTATTCCTCTCTAATGCCGAAGCACCAAATATCGAGTGGAACACTCCAAGTGGCCCCATTTTCCCGCAACCTTTGGATTGGAGCCTGATCGTGTGGTTCACCTTCAACGCCACACTCCCATCGGCCCAATGTGCTGCGGCCGACACTCTCGGTGGGCGAATGTACCTGTGCCAAGATTCGAGCTTCTGGTTCATTCTGAAAGTTACAGATTTCGAACAGTGCTTGCTCAGTTCAAGATTCCATCCAACCATCACCAATGGCTGGTCTGTTTGGTTCGTTTCGGTACAGTACCAGGGCTAGTGGGAGAAGTCGGGCCGTTTGGACACGTCACGCTACACGGCTGAATTTCGAACCTCGGGTTGAGAACTACAAATGGGTGGAAGATGTTTTAGAGGCTTATCAAACTATTTTGATGAGGTAAGCCGTGGTTCTCTTTCTCCTTCAAATCGTTGAACTTCGTTCAAGCCAAAAAGCCGCCGCCCCCCCTCAGGCCAGTTCTTCCAGGCTTTCACCAAACGCTGCTCCGCAGGGCTGCCTCCCTGCAATTCTCAAGGGCTCCATTGCTGCCTGTGGTTCTGAAGGTGAAGGCCTGCATTTTGGCACAAAATTCCAGTTTTCCCTGGGAAGTCCCGAGGCAGAAAGTCGTCCTTTTTCAAGAGGTGGTGTGGTGTGGTGGCCATTCCACGTTTATTTATTCGCGCTGCGACGGGCGTGTTGGAGTAGTAGTTGCATGTAGGGTGGTTTAACTTTCAATACTTTTCATTAGAACAACCAACTCGACTCGGCTCTTACTTTTTGCACTTCAGTTCCAATATTAGTATTTAACTCGGCGGCCGTAGATAGTTCGGCGCTGACACGTTTCTAATCCACTAATTGGTCGTGGTAGTGGTTGATTAACTGATTGTGACAGTTACGTCAGTTGCCGACTCATTGTTTCCGTTTTTACATCGCAACGTTGCTCGCCTTTGTTTAAGCTGGTGATTCATTCTTTAGCCGCCTAGAAAACCGCCTCTATCCGCAGTGATTAGTAATATGTTTATGCGCCTCAGAAACCGACAGTTATTGCCGTCATGAATCATCATCACGTGCAGCGGCGGCCGGCAAGCCAGCATGACACCCGCAGCTCATGGAACGAGCACCTGCAGCAGCAGCAGCAGCAGCAGCACACCACCACCAACACCTGCAGCAGCACCACCACCACCTGCAACAGCAGCAGCCGCAGCAGGAGCATAGCCATTACCAGCAGCCGCTTTTGTCGCCGCAACACCCGCAATACCCGCCGTTAGTGTCGCCGCAGTACCCGCCGACTTTGTCGCCGCAATTCCCGTCGCCACAGCAGCATGCGCAAGCGCAAGAGCTTCCCTGGGACCATAGCGACAACGTTCCCGTCGCTCCCGTTATCGCACTCCCTGGTAACCACCTGAGCGTCTCAGGTAACCATGGTGGTAACCACCGCCGGTCGCGGTCCATGGGAATGGGGGCTATGGGGATGGGAGCGACGGGCGTTGCGCCTGACTTTCTCGCGCAGATTGGAGCGGCGGGCAAGTCCCGCTAGGCCCCGCGGGGGCAGGGAGAGGCGCGCATCCTGCGCCTGCGGGAGGGGGGAAGGGGTGGCGCAGGGGAGAAGTTCCGCCGAGATCGCGCGAGTAGGGGGGATATGCACGGGCGGGGAAGAGGGAGAGGCATGGGCGGAGGAGTTAGCGGCCGAGGGGAAGGCGAGAGGGGGAGAGGCGGAGGAGGGGGGGAAGCAGGGGAGATAAGCGGACAGGCAACGAAAGGGAGCGGGGGAACGTAGACAGTATTGACCCTCGTTTTAAGCCCAAGTTTATAAAATCCGGGGGGCGGGTGTGGGAAATGTTTTCGGGACCGTCTGTTAATATTCTAAGGAGAGAGGACGACGCGGATCTGCCGCCAGAGGAGTTAGCCGCCATGGTTTCCACGCCTGTTGCGAAGCCCTTGCGCCATAGGCGCACCAAGTCCGCCTTCCCCGCGGATTCCGCGCAGTTCCTGCAGGAAATGGACTTCCGCGGAGGGGAAGGGGGGAACGGATTTGGGGAAGGAGGCGACGGCGGAGGGGGAGCGGGAACAGGGTTCGGAGGCGGGGATGGCGGAACGGGAGCGTGGGGCGGCGGAGGGGGAGTTGGGGGCGGAGAAGCAGGCGGAAGAGGGGTTGGGGGGGTTGTTGTTGGAGGGGGAGCGGGGCAGCGGGCGCGCAGAGACTGTTAGCGTCAGCAGGGGGAAGGCGCGCATCCCTTGACGGCGGGGGGAGGATTCCCCCTTCTATTCCCTCCTCCTTCTCGGATCCTTCCAATCCGATTCCGCCACGTCCGCCTAAGGCACCACTCTATGGACCTCTCTAGTAGTGGTTACAGTAACAATAGCTATGGTGGTGGGAGTGGGGGGGAAGGGTCTGGCGGTGGTGGTGATCTAAGCAGAGGCAGCGGAAGGGAGGGGGAGAAACAGCAATGGGGTTTGGGGAGGGAAGGGGGAAGGGATGCGCTGGGGGGTGGTGCGGGCAATGGGATTGGCGGAGGGCCTGGTGGCGGGGGGATAGGGGGGGAGGGTTGGGGGCGGGGGGGAGCAGCACGGGGGCAGGGCAGTGGCAGGGAGAGGGGCGCTCAATCCCTCTAGGGCAAATCCGCGAGCATGGGGACGATAACGAAGAGGATAGTAACGAGAACTTGCAGGAGAAACTTCAGGGGAATAGTCAGGGGAAGTATGGGAGTGGGAATTATGCCTCAGGTCAAGCGAATGCCCTCCTCTCCCCCATGCGCTTGGGCGGAAGTCCCGGGGGGGGGTTCTCCTGGGGGAGGGGGGGGGAGAGGAGGGAGCGGAGCAGGGGAGGGCGCGGGGGCACGGTCACAGGCGCAGCCACAGTCTGCAGGCTCCAGGGGGCGGGGGCTTCGGGTTCTCTGGAGGCGTTGGGGGGGAAGGGGGAGCGGGGGGAGGCATGGGGGGAGGGGAATGGGCGGCGGGGAATTATCAGGCGGAGCAGGGGCAGGGGCAGGGGCAGTGGGGACAGATGCGAAGGCCTAGCACAGGGCAGACGGGCAGAGGCGGGGCCATGGGGGAAGGCGGGGTGGGGGGAGGGGGAAGAGGCGGAGGGAGGGGATGGGTCGGGGGAAGAGGCGGAGGGCAGAAGGGAGTCGGGGTAGCAGGAGGAAGGGGGCAGGGAAATGGTATGATGGGAGATGGAGCGTTGGCGGCGAGAGTAGGAGTGGAGGAAGGGCCAGGAGAGGAGGGAGGGGAGGGAGGGAGGGGAGGAGGGAGGGGAAGTGGAGGATGGGAGAGTGTTGCCAGGGGAAGAAGAGGAGGATGAGGACGTTCCCGTTGCTCCTGTGTCTCCTGTTCCTGTACAGTGGGGTGCTTTTAACGCAGGGTTTAAGGTCCCGGGCGAAGGGGGGGAAGGAGAGGAAGTAGCAGGCGTGGGGCAGCAGCAGCAGCAGCAGCAGCAGCAGCAGCAGCAGCACAGCAAGCAGCAGCAGTTGAGTGAGCATCAGTTGATGCTGAAGCGGCGGCACCAGCAAAACCAGCAGGCGTTGCAGAAGGAGCAGGAGAAGAAAGCGAGCGTTCAGGGGCAGCAGATGTTGCAGCAGCAGCCGCCGCACCAGGAGCAGCAGCAACAACAGCAGCAACAATACCAGCAGCAGCAGCAGCAGCAGAAGGGGCGAGTGGGGGCACAGGAGGAGTCACTCCATGGGGATGGCTGGTGTGGCAAACTCTCTCCCTCACTTTCCTGACGTCTCTGAGCCAAGCCAGCCCATGCGGTTCTCACGGGCCATGGTGCTTGGCCTGCAGCAACCAGCAAGCCGCAGCAGCAGCAGCTATCTCAGCATGCTTATCAGCACAGCCAGCAACAGCAGTACAACCAGCACCAGGAGCTGCAGAACAACCAGCGGTACCAGCAGCAGCAGCAGCAGCAGCAGCAGCAGCAGGGGTGGCAGCAGCAGCAGGAGGGGCAGTTGGGGTGGCAGCAGGCAGCGTGGCAGGAGCAGCAGTTCGACGGACAGGAGGATAACGACCAGCAGGGGCTTTTCCGATCCTCCACCGCCCCGGCCAAGCCTGCAGGCCCGGCGAACGCTGCTGCTGCTGCTGTGGCAGTGGTAAGGGATTGGACGGGCAGCCCATTATCAGCAGCAAGAGTTACACCAGCCCATCCAATCTTCACCCTCATTATAGTCACGCAGGAGGGAGGGGAGAAGGGGGAGGAGGAGGAGGAGGGAGAGGAGGGAGAGGAGAGGGAGGAGGGGGAGGAGTAGCAGGGGGAGTTGGAGCAGGGGGAGGAGGGGGAAGAGGGGGGGGATCGCAAGGCATGTCGCGACATAAGAGGACCATGTCTGCTAGTGCTGCTGCTGGGGTTGGTGGTGGCTTTGGCGGTGCTGCTGCTTGGGGTGGTGCTGGTGGTGGCATGTTTGCTGGTGGTGGGTTTCCTGCTGCTGTTGGTTCTGGTGGTGCTGGTTACCCTGCTGCTGGTAACACTGGTGCTCGTTTGCCGCCCCACCACTCCCCCCTCGTCCAGGGGGGGTGTTCCACTACCGCAGCAGCGCTCCCCACCCCACATGCACCACCATTCTCGCTCACACTCCACACTCCGTCTCCCCTCCCAAACCCCACTCTCACTCACACTCTCACTCCGTTTCTTCCCCCAAGCCCCATTCCCCCTCACCCTCTCACTCACCCTCTCACTCACCCTCTCACTCACCCTCTCATTCACGCCCACCCTCTCACTCACACTCACACTCCCCTCCAAAGCCTCACTCTCACTCCCCCGGTCCCCCAACCTTCCTCTCCCCACATTCCCCCATGCCCCCAAGCCCAGCTGGGGGAAGCTCAGGGGGGAGGGTGGCGGGGGGAGCTGGGGGAATGGGGGAAGTGGGGGGAGGGGGTAGGGGAGCAGGGGGAGGGGGAGTACCCCCCCGATCTTCCCCTTCTGGGCCCCCTAACAGTGCGTCAACTGCATGGGGGACGGGGGGAAGGGGAGCAGGGGGAGCAAGGGGGGTAGGGGAGCAGGGGGAGCAGGGGGAGCCAGGGGGAGCAGGGGGAGCAGGGGGCAGGGGGAGCAGGGGGGGCAGGGGGGCAGGGGGAGCACATGGAGTGAGGGGGATGACTCAGGCGCATCAGGGCTACTCTGGTAGCAGTGCTGCTGCTGGTGGTGGCGCTGCTGCTGGTGCTGGTGGTGGTTTGAATGTGCTGGGTCGGCCGTTTCAGCATATATCGGAGCAGTTTATACTGAGTACGGAGGAGATAGGCAGGGGCAGATCGGGCAGTGTCACAATGTGTGTGCATCGGACAAGCAACGAGAGGCTCGCGTGTAAAACGATTCCCAAAGGCAGCCTGCAGGTATGATTCGTTTTAAGGTAATCTGGAGAGCTCTATACGGAGTATGAAGATATCCAACCGGGGCAGAATGGGTAGCTAGCGTCAGAAGCGTGTGTGTGAGCATCGGATGAACAACGAGAAACTTGCATGTAGACTGATTCCCACGAAGGTTGCAGGTGCAATTTCTGGAGAGCTTTATACCGAGTATGACAATAGCTAGGGCAGACCGGGGAGCATCAGAGAGCGCTTGTGTGTGTGAGCATCCGATGAGCAACGAGAAACTTGTGTGTAGACTGATTCCCAAGGGGCAACACAACAGGGCCCTGCCTTGTTGTGTTGCCCTGCCTTGTTGTGTTGCCCTGCCTTGTTGTGTTTGCCCTGCCTTGTTGTGTTGCCCTGCTTGTTGTGCTGCCCTGCCTTGTTGTGTTGCCCTGCTTGTTGTGTTGCCCTGCCTTGTTGTGCTGCCCTGCTTGTTGTGTTGCCCTGCCTTGTTGTGTTGCCTGCCTTGTTGTGTTGCCCTGCCTTGTTGTGTTGCCCTGCTTGTTGTGCTGCCCTGCCTTGTTGTGTGCCCTGCCTTGTTGTGCTGCCCTGCCTTGTTGTGTTGCCCTGCCTTGTTGTGTTGCCCTGCTTGTTGTGCTGCCCTGCCTTGTTGTGCTGCCCTGCCTTGTTGTGCTGCCCTGCCTTGTTGTGCTGCCCTGCCTTGTTGTGCTGCCCTGCCTTGTTGTGCTGCCCTGCCTCGCAGAGTGAGGAGGAGGTGGCGGACATTGGGGGGGGGAGGGAGGGGGGGGAGGAGATAACACGCCTTAGGGGGCGTCTTGACACACATGGAGACCTTCCAGGATGCTTCTTCGCTCTCTTGCGTTTCCCTGTATTGCAGCGTGAGGAGGCGGCGGGTGTGAGGAGGGAGGTGGAGATAACTTGCCACAAGAAACGCCCTGATACATGTGCAAGGTTCCCAAGATGCTTTCTCCCTCCCTTGTGCTCTGCTGTCTGGCAGAGTGAGGAGAAGGTGGGAGACGTGAGGAGGGAGGTGGAGATTTCACGCTTTATAGGTCGCCCTTATCCACATAGAAGCTCCTTAAGACGCCTTTTCTTTCCCCCTCTCTTGTGCGCTGCTGTCTGGCAGAGCGAGGAGGGGGCGGGGGACGTGAGGAGGGAGGTGGAGATATTGGAATCTATGAGGGGCCATCCGTGCTCGGTGCAGCTGCTGGCAGCCTTTGAGGACGAGGAGGTGAGAGGGGGAGGTAGGGGGGAAGGTGAGAGGGGGAGGTAGGTAGGGGGGGGGAGGTGAGAGGGGAGGTGAGAGGGGGAGGTGAGAGGGGAGGTGAGGGGGGAGGTAGGTAGGGGGAGGTGAGAGGGGGAGGTAGGTATGGGGGAGGTGAGAGGGGGAGGTAGGCAGGGGGGGAGGTGAGACGGGGAGGTAGGTAGGGGGGGAGGTGAGACGGGGAGGTAGGTAGGGGGGGGAGGTGAGAGGGGGAGGTAGGTAGGGGGGAGGTGAGAGGGGGAGTGAGAGGGGGGGAGGTGAGAGAGGGAGGTAGGTAGGGGGGGAGGAGAGAGGGGGAGGTGAGAGGGGGAGGTAGGTAGGGGGGAGGTGAGAAGGAGCAGAGTACACAAAGAGGGAGCTACGGGAAGGAGGTGAGTAGAGACGTGAGGAGGGAGGTGGAGATGTTGGAAGGGATAAGGGGGCATGCTTGCTCGGTGCAGCTGCTGGCAGCCTTTGAGGGCGAGGAGGTGAGGAGGAGGTAGGGGTGGGGGGTAGGTGAGTGGGGACGTGCGAGGGGGATGAAGATAACCCGGATTACACACACTCTCTCCTCTCTCATTCGTCCCCCCCCCCCACCCTACCCCCTGCAGGTCGATTTTTGAGGCGCCTAAAAAATAGACCCCTCTCTCATTCGTCCCCCCCCCCCCTATCCCCTGCAGGTCGGGCACCTAGTCATGGCAGTGTGTGTGTGAAGGGGGGGGGGGACCGATGGCAGCAGGTTAAGCAGCAGCGATCTCACTCCCCTCCCTCCCTCTGCTTTCCCGCTTCCCCCCTCTCCCCCCCCTGCAGGTAGAGCGTCTAATCATGGCCGTATGTGTGTGAAGGGGGGGGGGAGGACTTATGGCAGTGGGTGAAGCTTTGGTGAACTCACTCCCCTCGCTCTGCTCCGCCCACCCAACCCCCTGCAGGTCGTGCCGTGTGTGTGTGAAGGTGGGGGGACCTATGGCAGCGGCCCGCGGGTGAAGCAAGGCGGGCAGCTGCCATAGGTCCCACCTTCACCCATAGGTCTCTTTCCCCATGGGGAAAGAGGGGCGGCAGCAGTGACGAGGCGGCTGGGGGGGCTGGGGGGCATCGTGCACGCTCTTCCCCCTTCCATACCTTCATGCTCACCCCCTCCCCCAATCTCACCTCCTCTTCTTTTCCCTTCCTGCGAACCTGCATTATGCACATCTGGTGATGGGCCTGTGCGAGGGCGGGACCTGTGGCAGCGGGTGAAGCAGTGTTGATCTCACTCCCTTCCCTCCGCTCTGCCCCCCTCCTTCCGCTCTGCCCCCTCCTTCCACTCTGCCCCCTCCCTCCCTTTCGCCCTGTTCAGTTTGTGCACCTGGTGATGGACCTGTGCCAGGGAGGGACCTGTGGCAGCGGGTGAAGCAGTGGCGATCTCACTCCCTTCCCTCCGCTCTGCCCCCCTCCTTCCGCTCTGCCCCCTCCTTCCACTCTGCCCCCTCCCTCCCTTTCGCCCTGTTCAGTTTGTGCACCTGGTGATGGACCTGTGCCAGGGAGGGACCTATGGCAGCGGGTGCAGCAGGGGGGGGCGTATGGGGAAGGAGAGGCGGCAGCAGTGGTGAGGGCGGCTGGTGGGGCTGCTGAGAGACCTGCACGCTCAGGGCATCATGCACCGGGATGTGAAGCCAGAGAATGTGCTTCTAAGGAGGGAGGATGATGATGCGGATATTGCCATCATCGACTATGGAGTGTCTGTGTTCTTCAATCCAGGTGGGTGGGTTGGCTGGAATGGGTGTGAGGTGCCTTAGATCAGATCACACACTCGGGGCTTCATGCACCGGGATGTGAAGCCAGAGAATTTACTTCTAAGGAGGGAGGATGACGACACTGATATTGCCATCATTGACTATGGGGTCTCTGTGTTCTTCAATCCGGGTGAGCTTGTTGTTTTGGATGATCCAAGGTGCGTTAATTTGTAGGGTGTTTTTGAGAATTCTCAAAACACCCTACAAAATCTAAAACACGCTCAGGGGGTCTTCAGGCGGCTGGTGGGGCTGCTGAGAGACCTGTGCGCTCAGGGCATCATGCACCGGGATGTGAAGCCAGAGAATGTGATTCTAAGGAGGGATAATGACGATGCGGATATTGCGGTTATCGATTATGGAGTGTCTGTGTTCTTCAATCCAGTGGGTTTGCAAATTTTCGTTGGATAGATGGAGCAAGTGGGTGTTTGCTTCGTTATTGCTCCAAACTTACACAAACAACAGGGATGAGGGCAGGTGTGGTTCACCTGCCACAGCTCCCTTTCCCCCACCCTCACTACCCCCTTTACAGGCGAAACGTTTTCTGAGATCGTAGGCTCTCCCTTCTACATTTCTCCGGAGGTGCTTCACGAATCCTACGGTCCAGAATCCGACATCTGGGCGGCCGGAGTGATCCTGTTCGTCCTTTTGTCGGGAGCACTTCCCTTCTGGGGGACTCAGACGAGGGCGTGTTCCGGGCAATATTGGAGAGGAGTGTGGAGGAGGAGGTGGAGAGAGAGGGAGTGTGGGAGAGTGTGTCTGAAGAAGCGAAGGATCTGGTGTTGCGCATGCTGACAAGAGACGCCGCCCTCAGAATCTCGGCGGACGAGATTCTTGGTAAGGAGGTGCATTGGAGAACGCACTATTCTGTTGCTTCAATGATGTTGCTGGCAATGCTACGCCGTTTGGACGTTTTCTGACCTTTCCTGGCCCTCTTTTTCTTGCCCCCATTTATTTCTTCCCGTTGATCCGTTTGATCCCCTCCCCTCCCCTGCCTCTCGTCAGAGCACCCATGGCTCCAAGATAACAACTACCTGCGCAACTCATGCAATTCAAGCAATAGGTGCCTTTTAGCGTTAAGTTGACAGCCGGTGCCAATCCTTTGAAAGCAGCCTACATGCCGATTCGTTTGTCATTATTAATGGTATCTTCTTTATATTTTCATTTTAATTATTGACGACATTTTTAGTACTGCTGTAACTCAATATTGTAAGGGGCTCTTTTCCGAAATCGAAACAGTCAAGCCATTTGCCACTCCACCGACACCCATTCACACTACCGCGTATGACCGTCCACCTCCTTTGCTGAATACAGCATGGTACGCCCATCACTGAGAGTTTTCGCTCAACAACTCAGCCGAACAGCAGACCAGCCAGACCTAGATATTGCCGAGCCGTGCTCCAGAAACGCGCCCGATCATAGATTTCGCCGTGTCCGAGAGAAAAGCCTAGATAACGCCGTAAATGGGGAAGAGCCTCGATCAAGTCCCATGAACAATCCGAGCATCGATAATTTCGGCCAAGTGCCACGTCTTTTCTGGCAGGAAAATAACTAAGAGAGCTCCGTTGGTCACGGCAAAAGGGGCTCTTGAAAGCCGTCCATCTCGCGCAATTCCGCCGCGTCCTGCGGTTTAGCCAGGTCGAGTTTCCAGTCACGGCGTTATGATAAACGTGTATGTGGTAGCCTGCTGGTTGCACGGGCTACGCGTTATTCTTCTTTCGGACTACTCTTTAATCTCCTGTCGCTGCCTCGCTTGTTCCCATCGGTCATCGTCTCACACCTTCACGCCACGCCTAATCCTGTCACACACGTCTCTCTAGCTTAGTCGATTAATCTCCTCTCCGCAATGAACGGACGGTCTTACCGGACGGGTATACGCGCAGTCGTCTTCCTCCTCCTGCTCTCGTGCCGCGTGCCAGCGTCTCATGCGTCCACAGCCGGCCTTATCTGCGGGCGGAATGACGACTACCTCGGCCAATCCCTCCCTCGCTCTTTCTTCGAGACCCACGCTGATGTGGAGCCAACGGGCGCCACGTCAGCTCCAGCGCAGGAGCAGCCACTTAGGAGAGTACGACATCGCGGGATTCGAACCCTGCGTAAGTGGGACAGGCGCTTAGCTAAGTGCGACTACGACATGATGGAATTCAAACCCTGCGTAAGCGCGTCTAAGAAGGAGCAAGGATATTCAGAAACGCTTATGTAAACAATGCTTTTAACTTTTTCAATTCGGGACGCACGTACCCTAGCTAAACTATATACCGAATCATCCTCATATTTTAGTCGACTTCATAGCGTACTCTAGCTGAGCTCCATGGGTAGTTATCCTCGTCATGAGCAGGCCGCCGTGTAGGTTTTGGTTCGGTTTTGAGACGTCTCAAAGCCGCCGTGCAGGTTTTTGGTTTGGCTCAAGGCGGAAGAGTGGGGAGAGGGAGCGATGCACTACAGGCTGATATCCCAATACCCCCTGTTTTCCCGTTCCCCCCACTCCCCCTTTCCCTCCCCCCTTCCCCCCCTCTCCGATCAGTCTCCATGCAACACGCTACACCAAGCAGCAGTTGCCGCAGCGGTCCGTTCTGAGGCGAGTGGGGGAGGGAGCGATGCACTACGAGCTGGAAAACGTGTGCATCCATGCGCGGTTTCAAGGGAGGGGGTGACATTGCACCGAGTAGAGGGTATGGAGGTGAGTTCGCAAGTGTGGGAATCTCCTATAGCACGTACAGGATTTGCACTATGAATTGTAAAGCGTGTGCATCCATGCGCGGGTAAGGGAGGGGTGACTCTCCGCCGAGTAGAGGGTATGGAGGTGGGTACACGTGCGGTTGAATATATTGGGTATGGAGTTTTGGGTACACGTGCGGTTGAATATATTGGGTATGGAATTTTGTGTACACTTGCAGTTGAATATATTGGGTATGGAGTTTTGTGTACACTTGCGGTTGAATATATTGGGTATGGAGTTTTGGGTACACGTGCGGTTGAATATATTGGGTATGGAGTTTTGGGTACACGTGCGGTTGAATATATTGGGTATGGAATTTTGTGTACACTTGCGGTTGAATATATTGGGTATGGAGTTTTGTGTACACTTGCGGTTGAATATATTGGGTATGGAGTTTTGTGTACACTTGCGGTTGAATATATTGGGTATGGAGTTTTGTGTACACTTGCGGTTGTATATATTGGGTATGGAGTTTTGTGTACACTTGTGGTTGAATATATTGGGTATGGAGTCGGGTGCACATGCCGTTGGGTGTATGCGTTTGGTTGTACCGTAATACGGCCGGTGGGGCGAGTGGGAGGGGGGAGCGATGATGAGTATATATATGGAACTTTCTATAACGCGTATAAGGTAATGGCCTGGCCCTGTGCATAACTGCAGGCGTTCCCTTCTCCCCCCTATCCCATCACTTTTCCCTTCCCCTTCTATCTGTCAGGGCGATGGCTTTCCCCTATGCAACGAGGCAGGTTGCTACACCCTTCCATTATCTTATCTATCTCCTTGTTTCTCCCGTCTCCCTCTCCCTTCACTTCCCCTCTCACCAATTCCCTCTCTCCCTTCCCCTTCTGTCTGTCAGGGCGATGGCTTGCCCCTATGCAACGAGGCAGGTTGCTACACCTTTCCAGTCACACGCACCAATGACAGGCTGCCAGGTGGCAAGCGGGGCCACAACGGATGGATAGAGGACGCGACAGCTGTCATTCTCCCGCTCACGGCCGGCAATCCTTGGCATTTTCTGCATCACCTTGTCCCTCTGTCGCATGTGAGTGAGCGAGTGGGGGAGGGAGCGGGAAAGTGACAAATTGAGAGAAATGTCACGGGGCGCATCTCTTCCCAGTGTCTTGCTTTCACAACTCATTTTCCCGTTCCTGTTTTCTCTCCCTTACCCTTACCTGCTCTACTCCCAGATCCCCACAATCTGCAACAGCACCACGTATCTCTTCCCACGCCTTGCCTGCTGTTGTTGTAACCCGTCTGCTCCTAGCCTCTTTTCCCTGGGCCCCATCCCTGGCCCCATCCCCCTCTCAGCTGCTCTTCTCCCAGCGTCCCGCCATGCGCAACAGCACGGCGCATCTCTTCCCGTGCCTGGCCGGAGGGGCTGAGGGCATGCTCTCTCACCCTCTGCCCCATCTCCCTCCTGCCCTGCCCTGTCTGTCCCTCTGCCATCTCCCCACGCCCCTGTCCCCCAGCTCCTCTCGTCCCAGCGCCACACCATGCGCAACGACACGGCACATCTCTTCCCGTGCCTTGCGAGGGGGGCCGAAGACATGCTCGCTCACCCCTCCCACATGAATGGGGAGGGCATAAATCATGGGGAGGGGATACAGGAAGATGGTTCTTCTGCAAAAGAGACCGCACATGACATGCTCTCTCACCCTTCTGCACATGACATGCATAGTGGTGGCAGTCATCATACCCACGACACCCATGCCCATGCCCACACAACTCCGCAATTTACTGTGCCACCCAGTGATTACTTCTCGCCACGCCACTTCCCCTGGTGGCCACTGCTCGCTGCTGCCGCCCCTCCAGATATGACCGTCTATCAGGTTTGTGCTCAGGTTTTCTAAGTGTGCTTGCGTAGGGTTTAGTTTTGAGATGCCTCAAAACTACTGCCGCCCCTCCAAATATGAACGTCTATCAGGTGCGGTGCTCAGACTTGTAAGTGTGCTTACGTAGGGTTTCTTCTATCCAGGTGTTTTCTCAGGTATGTCACGTCTTTCTCCAAACATGCTCTGTCAAGTCAAGGTAACACAAGGTAGTTTTGAGCGCATCGAAACTCACACCTCGAGATGCGCTTTTTCTACCTTTTGTTGTTACACTCCCTTGTGCCCCCTTGCTTTTCTACCTCAATGTTTTTTTTTTTTTTTTTTTTTTCCTGTTCGGTTCAGCTTCAATCATCCCTTCGTCCTTTTTCTTCTATGCCCCTACCTCTTCCCTCCTCTTCTCCCTCCTCTTCTCCCTCCTCTTCTCCCTCCTCTTCTCCCTCCTCTTCTCCCTCCTCTTCTCCCTCCTCTTCTCCCTCCTCTTCTCCCTCCTCTTCTCCCTCCTCTTCTCCCTCCTCTTCTCCCTCCTCTTCTCCCTCCTCTTCTCCCTCCTCTTCTCCCTCCTCTTCTCCCTCCTCTTCTCCCTCCTCTTCTCCCTCCTCTTCTCCCTCCTCTTCTCCCTCCTCTTCTCCCTCCTCTTCTCCCTCCTCTTCTCCCTCCTCTTCTCCCTCCTCTTCTCCCTCCTCTTCTCCCTCCTCTTCTCCCTCCTCTTCTCCCTCTCCTCTTCCCTTCTCCCTCCCTCCACACTAGGGGACAAAAGGTGAATCAAATCGAGAACATCCCCCGCGATTTAATAAGAATCAAATCTCGCCGCCGCCTCACCTCCCAGCATCACACTGACAGGGGCACACTGATGACAGTGGCACAAGTAGCAGCAGCAGCAGCCAACCGCTCCTCCCCCTTCCTCTGCTACCGGCACGCCTTCCTCGGTCTGCCCCCGGCCTTCTCCCCTGGGAGCTTGCTGCAGAGGAGGCCGCCCCTGCTTCCACGAGAGGCGTTTCGTGAGTTCAGAAGGCGGGCTCTGGAGCTGGCTGGAGTGACAGAGACCAGGTGAGATGCATTCCTCCCTTCCTCCACTCCCCCCTCCCCCCCTCTCCCCACCAACCGCTCCTCCCCGCTCGTCTGCTACCGGCACGCCTTCCTGGGTCTGCCCCCGCCCTTCTCCCCTGGAGGCGTTTCGTGAGTTCAGGCAACGGGCTCTGGAGCTGGCTGGAGTGATAGAGAGAAGGTAAGACACATGTTGGTTGGTGAATGAAAAACCGTCATCTTACAATACCCGGTAATACGGGTAGCAGCAGGAAAGAACTAGTCAGCAGACGCCAAGCGCAGAAGCTAACAAGCCATCTTTCACTCTTTCTCACCACTCACCCCTTTCCTGTCAACCTCTTCCCCTTCCCCGCTCCCTCTTGCTTTTCCCCTCTCTCGTCTTTCTCCTCTTATCTCGCCTTCTACCCTCCAGGTCTTACTCACTCCTTTCCTCTCCACCTCTTTCCCCTGCCTCACCCCCTCTTGCCTCTCCCCCTCATCTTTCTCCTCTTATCTCGCCTTCTACCCTCCAGGCCCCACTCTCCCAGTGTGCAAAAGCCACAGTCAGCCACTCAACCTGCTCCTCCAGAATCCTCCACCACCCTTGGATCAGCTGGCGTCTTTCAACCAGAACCGTTGGATCTCCCGCCCTCATCCTCTTCATCGTCATTTCATCCGCCCGTCACTCGCCCTCTCATGGGCATCATTGCTCGGGATAAGACACGCCGCCTCTGCCACCTGCCAGGTGAGTCGCTGCAAGGGGGATGAGCGGAAGGTTGAATGGGCTGCAGAGGGGGTTGAGGATGGACGGGAGCGGACGGGTGAGCTGAGCTGTGGCCTCGATTCCCCCTCTCATGGGCATTCGCTCGGGATCAGGGCTGTCGATTGGTTCGGGGCCAATACTTGGGGGGCTGAGGTCCCCCGAAAACAGCCCTGAAATTTCTGGAAAGCGACCGAACTGAGCCCTGAAGCGCACGGGCTGGGGTCCAAACCAGAACTTAAAATCAGGGCTGCTCCGGAGACTGCACTTTGCCTGAGTAGAAAACTGATGTACAGTCTCCTGATGCCTGAGAGAAAAACCTCGTAATCGTACATCAGGATAGGCAAGGTGCTGAGTGGGGAGGCCAGCCTATTTTCGCAGGAGAATTTCTGTGCCAAATCTGATAGTAGTTCACATTTCTCAGTTATTCATAGGTGTCACGGACTTGGCCAATTTCTGGGATGCGGGAGTGTGTGGGAGGGGCTTGTGACTGGCTTTGGAGACGGCCAAAAAAAATATCGGTGGAGAGATGGGGGAGGGGGAAGTGGGGGTGTGGGAGGAGGGGATGTTGGAGTATTGTCTCGGGCTATGGGGACTTGTTGACTTCTCTGGGGGTGCGAGGGGGGTGGGAGGAATGTGTGCCGGTGTGGGGGACTTCATTCATTTTCCAATGTTTGGTTGGGGTGTGGGAAGAATGTCTCTGGTTTGGAGGACTTGAGGAATTTTCTGGCTAGGGAGTTCTCTGGGGGTGCGAGGGGTGTGGGAGGAATGTCTCTGGGTGTGGGAGGAATGTCTCTGGGTGTGGGAGGAATGTCTCTGGGTGTGGGAGGAATGTCTCTGGGTGTGGGAGGAATGTCTCTGGGTGTGGGAGGAATGTCTCTGGGTGTGGGAGGAATGTCTCTGGGTGTGGGAGGAATGTCTCTGGGTGTGGGAGGAATGTCTCTGGGTGTGGGAGGAATGTCTCTGGGTGTGGGAGGAATGTCTCTGGGTGTGGGAGGAATGTCTCTGGGTGTGGGAGGAATGTCTCTGGGTGTGGGAGGAATGTCTCTGGGTGTGGGAGGAATGTCTCTGGTGTGAGGAATGTCTCTGGGTGTGGGAGGAATGTCTCTGGGTGTGGGAGGAATGTCTCTGGGTGTGGGAGGAATGTCTCTGGGTGTGGGAGGAATGTCTCTGGGTGTGGGAGGAATGTCTCTGGGTGTGGGAGGAATGTCTCTGGGTGTGGGAGGAATGTCTCTGGGTGTGGGAGGAATGTCTCTGGGTGTGGGAGGAATGTCTCTGGGTGTGGGAGGAATGTCTCTGGGTGTGGGAGGAATGTCTCTGGGTGTGGGAGGAATGTCTCTGGGTGTGGGAGGAATGTCTCTGGGTGTGGGAGGAATGTCTCTGGGTGTGGGAGGAATGTCTCTGGGTGTGGGAGGAATGTCTCTGGGTGTGGGAGGAATGTCTCTGGGTGTGGGAGGAATGTCTCTGGGTGTGGGAGGAATGTCTCTGGGTGTGGGAGGAATGTCTCTGGGTGTGGGAGGAATGTCTCTGGGTGTGGGAGGAATGTCTCTGGGTGTGGGAGGAATGTCTCTGGGTGTGGGAGGAATGTCTCTGGGTGTGGGAGGAATGTCTCTGGGTGTGGGAGGAATGTCTCTGGGTGTGGGAGGAATGTCTCTGGGTGTGGGAGGAATGTCTCTGGGTGTGGGGGACTTAGAGGAATTTTCTGAGTTCGGGTGGGATGTGGGAGGGATGTCTCTGGTTTGGAGGGCTTAGCCAAATTATCCTAGCCGAAGGGGAAGGTGGGGTGGTGTGGGTGGGCGAGGAAGGTATGCCTAGGTCAGGGTATGTCTAGGGAAGGTATGCCTAGGTCAGGGTATGTCTGTCTAGATCCCGTTACGGAAATCAGGGAAGGCCTCAACTCCGCCTTGAAGGAAACCGGGAAAGGGCCGAACGAAACCCTTAACCATCACGGGCTAGTCCCGGATAAAATCCTGAAAAGTCGGACCCTGACGGACGGCTTACCCGGAATGTTCAGGGCATTAAAGGCATTTGCCCTTGAATCGACAGGCCTGCTTGGGATAAGACCCGCCCCCTCTGCTGCCTGCCAGGTGAGCCGCTGAAGGGGGGATGGGTGGAAGGGGGGGGAGGGATGGGATAGAGGAGCGGTTAAGGAGATGGAAGAGGGGGGAAGGGGATAGAGGAGCGGGTAAGGGGATGTAGGAGGGGGGAAGGGGATAGAGGAGCGGGTAAGGGGATGTAGGAGGGGGGAAGGGGATAGAGGAGCAGTTTTGGGGGAGAGAAAGGGTGGGCCAAGAGGAAAGAACAAGCAAGGAAAGTAGGTGACTTTTGAGTCGACTCAAAAGTCACCTCATTACAATAACACACAACACTTTCGCTTCAGAGAAAGGGTGGGCCAAGATGAAAGAACAAGCGAGGAAAGTAAGCCCTTTTTATTATTATTATTATTATTATTAATGTTTTCCCATTCCCTGCTTGTCTTCTGACCACCTTGCTCTCTCGTCTCTCCCACATCCCCTGTGTAAGCAGATCTGGTAAGGGCAGCGGAATCAGTGGGGTTTGAGGTGCAAGTGCTGCGGTTTGAGCTGTGGGACGTGTGGCAGCAGATTCGAGAGGCACACCGGCTGGACGTGCTGGCAGGCAGCCATGGTGAGTCCTCTCCCCTATTTCACATGCTCTCTTGAGTCCGCTCACTGCCACTGGTCATGGCGTTCGCCCCTTTTGAGTCGACTCAAAAGCACTGCCACAAGCCATGGTGGGGTCCCCCGTGTCACATGCTCTCTCGAGACAAGTACTGCGGTTTTTTTAGCTGTGGGACGTGTGGCAGCAGATTCGAGAGGCACACCGGCTGGACGTGCTGGCAGGCAGCCACGGTGAGCGATAGCAGGCAGCCACGGTGAGTCCTCTCACTGCCGCTGGTCATGGGGTGTTCCCCCAATGTGAAATAATAGCAGCCATGGTTACAGGCAGCCACAGGGAGCGATAGCAGGCAGGCAGGCACTGTGAATGTACCAATGACACATGCATTTGGCAGGAATGCCAGCCTCGTGATTGCCAGATCTCGCCTCAAATACTCTGAATCTGGAATATGGCTATCCCTCCCTTTCCTCCATCTGTCCCCTCCCTCTCTCCCTCCCTCCCTCTCTCGCTCCTCAGGTTCAGGCATGAGTAACCTCATGTGGTTACCACACGGAGCCCAGGTGCTAGAGATCTTCCCAGCTCGCCCCTCCCCATTTCTCCTCCCCTGCCGGTCACACCCTCAACCCCGCCTCTTACTACGGCCGCTGGGCCCTCGTGTGCTGTCTCTCCCTGGTTCCCATTGCAGGTGCGGGCATGAGTAACCTCGTCTGGTTACCACGCGGAGCCCAGGTGCTAGAGATCTTCCCAGCGCGCCCCTCCGCCCTGCTCCTCCCCGGTCGCACCCTCAACCCTGCCTCTGACTACGGCCGCTGGGCCCTCGTGTGCAACGTCTCGCATGTCGTCGCGCTACAGTGCCCGTTACAGGATGAACAGTGCCAGGTGGGGGAGCAGGTGGGGGAGAAGGTGGGGGAGCAGGTGGGGGAGCAGGTGAGGGAGCAGGTGGAAGCAACAGAGGCTGAGGAGGAGTTTGAGGCAGCTGTGATTTCAACGGGCACCTTCAGGGAAAAGGAGCAATCTGATCGCTTTAGGCGATTGGGCGGCAGAAGCCGAAGCAGCAGCCGCAGCCGCAAGGCTGGAGGGCCGACAGGACTGTATATTGACCTCGGGTTGTACGCTGCGCCTTTTGCCAGTGATACTGACAGTGCCGCTGGTGATATGGATGAAATGCAGGTGGCTGATAGTGTTAGCATATACACGAGTGCTCTCTCCCTTGCCCCGCCTGGTAACCTCCCTCCTGCAACTCCTGGTTTCCGGCGTCTAGATCTTTTGGTTGGCCCTAGGTCGTTTCAAACGCTGGCACTTCAAGCCATTAGACGATTGGAAAGAACGCAACCTGAGGTTACGTGAAAAAGTATTTTGTTGGCATGTTATAGCGAAAACAGCTCAACTCCCAACGTACCACAATTTTACTGAATGCTTGACAGACAAGACGTCGATTGATGGACTATTCAATAACTACTGAATGCGTTGTCTTACTCTACTTCGTTTTATTAGTGTATGTCAGGCCCCCAGTTTTCAGGCCAAAACCCTGATTCAGGGTTTTTTCAGGGATTTTTTATGTACCAGCCAGGCCCCCAAATTGCAGACTTTTTACTCTGATTCAGACTTTTTTCAGAGTTTTTTTGGGGGTGTACTCTGATTGGGAAGACTTTTATTTGTACCTTACTCAGATTTTTCAGAGAAGATTTATGTACCTACGCTGATTTTTCAGACTTTTTTTACTAGTGTACTCTGATGCCTCAACTCTGTATGGGGGGTCGACTCTGATTTGTGTAATGCCAGGTTTGGGGGGGAGCGTGATTTACCTGTGGGGGGGGCGCTGATTGGCCCTTAGCCAAAATCAGGGCGAGATGCGTGTTGGGGGCTTTGTGAGGGCAGTTATTGGCCCTTCACCCAAATCAACGGCTTTGTGAGGGCAGTTTGTGGGAGCTGTGTGAGGGAGCTGACTGGTCCTTCACCAAAATCACCTCCCAGTTTGTGATGCGTGCGGTGTGAGGGGCCGATTTGCCCTTCGAAAAATTTGCAGAGGTGTGCCGCAGGCTGTGTGTGCGAGGGCACCCATTGGCCCTTCACGAAATAGCCACCTGGATGGCCCCAATTTCCCTACCTCCCCTGCAATTTTGATTTGCCCGCCCCCCAATTCCTTTCCGCCCCATCCCTCGATTTCGTCCCCCATTCGCAATTCACCACGATCCGTATCTCCACCAACCGACATCGTCGCGTGCCTCAGGCACGCAAAATTACTAGACAAGGAACGGGGAGGGGGGGGGATAGAAACTCATGAAAGACTCATCTAAATTTTTAAAATTCGTATGTCAGTCTGTCTGGGAGATTAGAAAAGTAAAAAAACTTCTGTCGGGCCTGGCAAGAGCGCTGTACAGTACAGCACAGCCTCGCCATGAGCCTCGCTGATCAACCACACCCGCACCGGCACGGGGCCGGGCCTAGGGCGCTGCGAAATTCCATGCCGCCGCCAGAACACAGATAGGTAGCGCACGCGAGAGAAAGCCCCTCAAGGGAGAAGTCTGAGGGGCAGCGGTTGGGAAGGGAATGGAAAAGTAACGTGCAAAACAGTAACTTTGAAATCAGAGTTAAAAACAATGGTAACTCTGATTAATCAGACAAATAAATTATTGTTACTCTGATTTTTCAGGCTTTTTTTAAGGGGCGACTCTGAAAGCCATACCAAGAGATGGCAGGCAAGTCTGATGAATCAGACAAGCCCAAAACCAATTTGGGGGCCTGGTACCAGCCCTGTCTTGCTAGGGTATTTTGTGCAACCTACCCTGATTTCTCAGCTTTTTTTTTTAAGGGAACTCTGACTGATCAGCAGTGTAACCGCTATGGACCCTGACGAGTCCGCCTGATATCGCGGTACAGCCCTGATTCCTGTAATAGCGGAATCTACTTCCCCCTCCCCCATCCCCCCCCCGTAATTTCCGTGCCAGCCTTGTAACACCCCCGCCAATCACGCCAAATTTACAGTTAGCCGCACACAATCTACGTGAAATGGCATATTGCAGCCACTCTACATCCACCACATTCAGATTCCATGCAACTCTGGCACCAGCGCACAGCAGGACCTCGCCCAGCGATTGGGACTTAGCCAAATTCAGTTTCGACAGCCAATAGACCAGCGACGTTCAGCAGTTGCAAATAACCTCGCGCGACAGAACGTGGCGGTTATCTGGCGGCGCGGACAAGGGAACCAGAACATCGCGTTCATGCATGCAACCATCCCATATTGGCTGGCGTTTTCATCCCCACACGGCAACGCCCCTTCTGCTAGCGCCATTTCTTGCTCCCACCTGCTTTTCCCCTTAACATTACTTCTCCTCGTCTTTCTGTGTCTGCGAGTCATTGCAGCACGCAGACGCCATGGTCGAGCCAGGCGACCCCGACGAGCCTGACAGTACTCGGCACCTGGACTCTCACACGGGTCTAGACTTGTTACTCTCCATTCTCTCAAGCCTGACGCGTATCCCGCCTAGGGTTAGGAGCGCCGTGCATAGTCCCGCCTGTCAGCCAGCTGGCGGTTCTGTAGGTGACGCTGCGGCTGGGTCTAACAGCGACCCCACTGCCGGCCCCTCCACTGCTGAACCCGAGATCCCGGCTACTACGGCTGGTACTCCGGCTAAGCGCTCCGGTCGTTACAGACAGACCACTCTTCCATTTGCTCGCCCGAAAATGACGGGAAACGAGGCATCCGGGGCGCCTGATTCTGACGAGGAGGACGATGAAGATGATCCTCCCTCCGCCACCAAACCCATGCGTTCAGCAGAAGAGCAGTATGCGGATGCGCAGCGCCGCTACAACACGAAGTGGCAAGACGAGTTTCCATGGCTCCTCCTTGAAAAAACGCCCGATGGACTTCCTGCCTTCAAGTGTTCCGTGTGCATCGAGCATGCAGGTCTGAGTGGCAAGACCGGGCGACGTGGCAGCGGGATCAAGGACGCGCAGAAGCAAGCATTCAGTCGCCATGCTGGGACGGCTAAGCATTGGTTGGCGTTCGCGAAGCAGACGCTGCTGCTGCAGCAGGCGACGACACAGACTCTGATTGACCATGCTGCTGGCGCGTCGGACGTGGAGGCGGCCTGGGTCACAGCTCTTCTCGACGTTCTCTGTTGCAAAACCAACGAGCCGATGGAGTCGTGGGTGAGGTTCTCACGCTACCTCGCTGCGCGAAAGGTAAAGAACTTCACCGACGAAGGCTACGGGTGTTACATGAACAGGTACGGTCCGTATCTGGTGTGGTTCACTGACCCTCATTCCATGAATGTCTTTCGTTGAAAGGCTTTCCCAGAATGTCTTTCGTATAAAAAAAAATCTCACAAATTTCCCTGAATGTCTATCCTTTTCCACGTGTTGTATCCTGGTTGGCAGTTATGGCTTCGGGGAGTTCACCCTGTCAACCACAACCTGGCTACAGACCACGCAACTCGAGCACTTGCTTCGAAGCCCATTCATCGGCATCAGTCTAGATGAGAGCACGAATCGCTGCAGGGGGAAACATCAGATAGTCTTCGCTACATTCATTCGTGAGTATCGTGTCGTCTGCGAGTATCTCACTCTGATCACGGTGGACAAGGCGGACGCTGCGTCCCTGCTCGCTCTGTTGCTCTCACACTTGGGGGCGATCGGCGTAGACCTGCGGTGGGTCTCCGGCATCAGCACCGATGGTGCGGCTGTGATGATGGGAGTGAAAGGGGGTCTGGTGACGCGCCTGCGACACCAGATTCCTCACTTGGTGTAAGCGTCCTTTTTTATATGAGTGGCGTTTACTTAAACGGGTCTTTGTACGTATTAACACCCTTATGTATCGTGCATCATTTGTGTGTGCGCAGAGAGGCACTGGCTGTGAAGGCGGCTGCAGAAGAGGTGCCCGGTTTCAAGATCATCGACGATGTGATTCGTGAACTGGCCGAGTTCCTTGGTCGTTCGGGACCGTGGCAACGTCACTCGAGATGCAGGGCATTTTTCACGTTCGGTGGCTGTCTCGAGGTGACGCTGTCATTCGTCTTGTCAATGTTCTCCCTGCAATCATTGTCATGCTCTCAGAGTTTCCTGACAAGCGGCTGTACAACATGTCTATGTCCCCCCCGCTCGCAGCTGGACTTCGGCTCCATCAACTCGGCAATCAGCCGCGTGAAGTCCCTCCTTCTAAGCCGCTACGTCGACTACGGCGACGACTTCACCGGGGGGCTGAAAGACCGCCTCATAGGATTCCTCACCCGTCACGGCCCTAGCGGTTCGCGAAGCGTCACCGTTGAAGGCCTGAAGTCCGACGGCAGCTCAACACGCTTCACCTTCATCCTGCATGACCGAGGGCTTCCGGACTATCCTGGGGGGTGGAAGCACGATGACTGTGTGGTGGAGTGCATGGCGTTGGCGGAGGGGCTGGTTAACAACCTACAAGAGCGGCTGGGGGATGTGGGGAAGCTGATCTACTCCAGAATGTTCGCCGCGGGTGAGTGGCCAGTGGGCTAGCTACGAGCTCCCCGGAACGCCCAGTGCCTTGCCTGGTTCGAGTCCCTCGTCGACCTCTATCATGCTGGCGAGGCTGCCGAGATCCTGCCCGGCATCGACAAGTTTGCAGCTGTCAAAGAAATCCCGCACTTCACCCCGGTTCTTGCTGCCCTTCCGAAAGGTGACAAGGGCTTCTTCACTGGTCTCACCGCCATGCTTAAGACACCGGACTGGCAGCATAGTTACCCCAACTTGGTGAAGCTCTGGTGTGCCGTTGCCGTCCTGCCTCTTAGTACCGTAGAGTGCGAGCGCGAGTTCTCCCGCCAGAACAAGATAAACAGTACCTTGCGTGGCAGCATGAAGGATACACGTCTTGGGGACCTGATGTGTCTTAGCTTGCTAGACTATGAGCCCGATTGGGCAGCAGTTGTAGAAATATGGAGGGCATACAAGAAGAGAAAGCCCTACAACAATGCTCCTCAGATCCGAGACCGTGGTAGCAAGAAAGGGAAGGAGAAAGATGATGATGATGATGTTGGTGTGGTAGTTGTAGAGTGTATGGAAGAGGAAGACGATAAGTAGATTTTCTGCTCTTATAATACAATGCCTATGGTTTTCTGCTCAGCTTAAATGTATTCGATCACCCTGAAAACCCAGCTTAAAATATTGACACAGCCCTGAAAAATCAGCGGAAAAAAAAGGAGGGGACTGAAAAAACAGGGTTCTCTAGGGGGGGGAGGGCTGAGCAATCAGGGTACCTCTAAACCAATCTGAGGGCCTGGTGTATGTGTTGTCTTATTCTCTGATGAACTGTAGATCATCGTCTTATAGCGCAGAGCCACCTCCTAGCCACTTCCTTACTGCTGGCCTCTCGAGATTGCCGACTGGGTTGTCACTCCCATAATCCCATCATCCCAAGGCTCCCTCACCATTCCGTCTAGAGAAGGAAAATGCCGATTAAATGCACTATCCGTGGTATAAAAGCCGTCTAGGACTGCCGCTTCATCGCCCAGCGCTTATAAACCGCTCTCGATTTCCCCTTTTTTAATCCGCGCATTCGATAAGGCAGCCATGGCCGGCCGTTTTATCCTGTCTCGGTATCTCCGCATCTTCCATAAACAGGTATCTGTGTGCTTCGTTATAATGTGGCTAGCGTGCCTCGATATAGGATCTTTAGCGCAACAAGAGCCGTCTTCTCCTGGAGGACTCGTGATCGACCCTGGCGCTCCGTTAAGCAGTGGCTCGATAAAAGAAAAGCACCGTGGAATCACGGCGATCTCCGAGGACATCAACGGTCGCGATCTGATCCCGATCTACCTGGACGGCTCAGATCCTTCCGTGATCGAGAGCATCGCAACGGGCGGCTGCAAAGGCGGGAAATGCCCCGAATTTCACATTTGCGAGGGATCCACTCCCTTCGGTAGCGGCTCCGGGAAATTCGCTCTTTGCGAAAGCCGACCACTGATGACGTCAGCAGCGGATAAGGAGATTAAAGACATGCTGTTTAATTTGCTGTCCGACGCTCCCTCCGTGTCCAATTGCCTGGACGATTCCGCCATTGAGAAGCTCCGCGCGGAGGGAGCTTCCGCCGCGCCTCCGCCATGGTTCCGCACATGCCCTCCGCAAGCTTCCGCCGCTGGTGCCACCGGTGCTGCTGCTGCTGGGGCTGGGGAATCGGGGAAGTTAGAATCGTGCGTGCTGCCGCCTTATCCGGGCCACGTCATCATGCTGCGCGACGTGTACGTGGATCTGCACGGCCACGTGTTTAACAGCACGCACCGCTTCGTGTTCGGAGGGGGTCCACGTGGCGCTGACGTGTCGGGGAAATCCGGGATAGGCGCAGCGGAAACGGGGGAGGGTTTTAACAGCGAGTTCTCTTATCCGAAGGGGACTACAGCGGTGGTTTACGAGCACGTGCTCCATCTCTTCCCCCCCCATATAAGCACGCGCGCGCACGCCCATGCAGCAGGCGCGGAGGGGAGTGAACGGGGGGAAGGGAGGGAGGCGAGGGGGGAGTCTGCGCATGGGCGAGCGGCGACTTACAGATGGATGGTGGAGTGGTTACTTCCAGGACTCATGGCGGTGCATGACGCCATGCCGAGCTTCGAACACTACCCCATGCTGCTGCCATACTCGCAGGTACGGTGATGCCATGTTACATATTACTGGGACACCTGTTATCGAGTATAGAAGAGCAGCGACTTACAGATGGATGGTGGAGTGGCTGCTGCCAGTGCTCACGGCGGTGCATGACGCCATGCCCAGCTTTGAGCACTACCCCATGCTGCTGCCATACTCGCAGGTAGTACTAGCATATGTTCCACTGTAGTTGTGATGCCCGGGACAGACTCTAATGATCCCCATGCCTAGCTTACTCTAGGGTCCTCGCCACCCCCCCCCCCCTCCCCCCCCACCTCCCCCTCCCCCTCCCTCCGGTCCTCCCTCCCCTTCCCATTCCCCTTCCCCCATCCCCCTTCCCCCATCCCCCTTCCCCCATCCCCCTTCCCCCATCCCCCTTCCCCCAGTTGCTGTGGTAAAATCAAGCTGTTGAAATCAACCCAGCTTCGTCTCCCCCCTTCCTCCCTCCCGCCCCCGCCTCGCCTCCCCTTCCCCCCCCCCCCCCATCCTGCCCAAGTTGCTGCGCCACATGAGCCATCAGCTGCTTGGGTTCGACCTCGCGTCTCGAGCGTTGCACCCTTCCCCGTTCCACACTGCATATGATTTCTTAGTCCACTCAAAAACCATGCCCCCCCCCTCCCTCCCCTCCCCCCCCCGCGTCCCCCCAGTTGCTGCGCCACATGAGCCATCAGCTGTTTGGGTTCGACCTCGCCTCTCGAGCGCTGCACCCGGCCCCACAGTACGGGCAAGGAGGGGGAGACGGCACGAGAGAGGCTCACCCCCTCTTTGTGCACTTCCTCTTTGTTGTGAGTGCTCTCCCCTTCTCTCGATCTCCCTCTCCTTTATTGCTTCTCTTGCTCTCCCTCCCGTGTTTGCCTTCCCTTATGGCACGAGAGAGGCCCACCTCTCCTCGTGCATTTCATCTTTGTTGTGAGCGCCCTCCCTTCTCTTGATCTCCCTCTCGTTGCACAACTCACTCGCCAACGCACTTCACGCAAGGGAGGAGGGGGGGGGGGACATTATGAGGGGGGTTCGCCCCCTTCTTCTGCACTTGCTCTTTGTTGTGAGTGCTCTCCCGTTTTCACCTTCCGCTCGTTCCGCTCGTTCTTTCAGCGCTCCTTTCTCCTGTTTCTCACCTCTGCACCTACGCACCTTCCCCCTCCTCCATGCCCTCCTCCCCCTCCCAAACCCCGCTCCCCCCAGGCAGCCCTCGTTCCTCGCCTGTTCCTCCCCCTCCCACTCTCTCCTCCCCCTCCCGCTCTCGGCCACGCCCACGCCCGCCTCCTTCCTCCAGATGGCCACCCCTCCTTCCTCCCTCCTTCCTCCCTCCTTCCTCCCTCCTTCCTCCCTCCTTCCTCCCCTCCTTCCTCCCTCCTTCCTCCCTCCTTCCTCCCCTCCTTCCTCCCTCCTTCCTCCCCTCCTTCCTCCCCTCCTTCCGCCCCTTCTTCCAGCCCTATTCCCAGCGCTCGTTCTTATAGACTTTGATTCTCCTCTCTCCTCCTCTTCTCACCTTCTCGCTTCCCCCCTCTATTCCCACCCCATCTCCCCCCCACCCCCCCAAACCCCGCTCCCCCCAGGCAGCCCTCGTTCCTCGCCTGTTCCTCCCCCTCCCCTTCTCTCCTCCGCCTCGCCCGCGCCTGCCACTTCCTCCCCCCAGACGGCCTCCCCTCCTTCTCCGCCTCCTTCCAGCCCCGCTCCCCCCCGCCCCTCTTTCTCTCCGCGGATGGGCTAGCAGGGGGGGAAGAGTGGCTGGTGGTGGTCGTGCGGACGGGGTTGGGGGGAGGGGGGGAGAGTGGGGGGACGGCGGGGGGAGCGGCAGGGGGAGGGGGAGGGGGGATAGTGCGGGAGGAAGAGGAGATAGAGAGGGTAATTGTTGAGAGGTTTGGGGCGGATAAAGTGGAGTCTTACCAGGGCCACATGGGCCTGGATGAAGGTAGGACTTTTCTTACTCATGCCGCTTGTGAGAATTCTAAGACACCAGCTCGCTTCAAACTTCAAAGGGGGGAGATAGAGAGAGGCGGTGGTGGTTGAGAGGTTTGGGACAGAAAAGATGGAGTCTTAGGATGAAGGTGGGAGCTGATCCGACGGCTGAAAAAGAGGAGATAAAGAGGGTAGCTGTGGAGAGTTTTGGGGCGGATAAATGTAGTTTTGAGGCGCCTCAAAACTATATATGTCAAGCTATCAACGCCACGTGGGCCTGATGATGAAGGTGAAATTCTGATTCGATTTGATATAATCGGTCGGCTCGGCTTCTTCTGACTTAGTCCAATCTCATTACAACTCACAAATGGCTAAGTTTGCTACAAATTGTCCTCGTTTTGCTTATCCCTGCTGTTGAAGAAAAACTAGAAGCTGGCTGCTCTCTCCCTTCACGCATGTTCACCTCGCGCTTCTCCGCCTCCTCCTTGCTCCTAACTCCTCCTTCGCCTCTCCTCCCCTCTCCTTCTTTCCTTCCTCTCCCCTTCTCTCCTCCTTCCCCCCCTTCCCCCATACCAGTGTAGAAGCTATTCAAGCATGCTCTTCTCCGCGTCGGTCCTTCAAGCCTCATTGGAAGGGCAAATGAGGAGATGCGCCCTTTCTCCTCTTCCTGCCCTTTGCCCACGGCTTTCTCCCTCCCTCACCCACCTACCCAGCCTCCCCATCCCCCCCCCTCCTCCCCCCCCCCCCCCCCCCCCCCCCCCCCTTTGAAACAGCCAAGAAGCTAATCGAGCTTGGCTCCCCTCATTATCAGCCCTCCAGCCCCGCCCTCTCCTCCCTCTTGTCTCCTCATCTGGCCCATCTGACCCTTTTCTCCCCACTTTTTCCCACTTCTCCCCCCAATCCCCCCACCAGTCAAGAAGCTCTTCAGTCGGGCACTGATCCTCATCAGCCCTTAAAGCATCGCCCTGTCCTCCCCCCTGTCTCCTCATATACCTGTTTCTCCCCACGTTTTCCACCTCTCTCCCTTCCCCCCCACCAGTAAAAAAACTCTTCAACCGAGCTCGGCTCCTCATCGGACCCTCCAGCCTCGCCCTCTCCTCCCTCCTCTTCCTGCCATTCAATGCTGCTCTGCTCGAACTCCTCCCCCCGCCTGCTCTCAATGCCTCTACTCCTGGTAATGCCACTGGTTATGGAACTTGGCTGTTGAAGCATGAGCCACCTTTGGCTGCTCTCTTTCTCCCTCGTTATGCTGTCCTGCTCGAGCTCCTGCTTCCTCCTGCTTTCAGCCTCCTCATTCTCTCGGTATAACTGTGAATCCTCCCTGCTACTTCAACGATTTTGTGCGCGGCATGAGTTGAGTCCTATCCCTGTTCCTACAGCCTGTGCCAGGGAATCCTCTCTTTGTTTTCTCTGCTATCCCTCTTGCATTCTCTATGCTCTCTGTCCTCCTACGTTTGTGGCGCCTCAAAAATAGACCTCTCTATGCTCTCTGTCCTTCTACGTTTGAGACGCCTCAAAAATAGACTTCTCTATGCTCTCTGTCCTTCTACGTTTGAGGCGCCTCAAAAATAGACTTCTCTATGCTCTCTGTCCTTCTATGTTTGTGGCGCCTAAAAAATAGACTTCTCTATGCTCTCTGTCCTTCTTTGTTCGCCTTCTTCCGTTGCGTCTGCCCGTGCTTCTGCATCTGGTGCCGGTGTTGCCTCTGTCAAGATCCTTTTCTCTCTTGCCCTATAGCAGCAGGAACGGTAAGCGATCCTCAGGGATTTGCCTCCCCGGCAGGCAGCAGGCAGCCGCTGGTATTGTGCAGTACGCTGTTCTTTGCGATTCAGTGGGTAACGGCGCTGCCTCTGATTCAGTGGGTAACGGCGCTGCCTCTGATTCAGTGGGTAACGGCGCTGCCTCTGATTCAGTGGGTAACGGCGCTGCCTCTGATTCAGTGGGTAACGGCGCTGCCTCTGATTCAGTGGGTAACGGCGCTGCCTCTGATTCAGTGGGTAACGGCGCTGCCTCTGATTCAGTGGGTAACGGCGCTGCCTCTGATTCAGTGGGTAACGGCGCTGCCTCTGATTCAGTGGGTAACGGCGCTGCCTCTGATTCAGTGGGTAACGGCGCTGCCTCTGATTCAGTGGGTAACGGCGCTGCCTCTGATTCAGTGGGTAACGGCGCTGCCTCTGATTCAGTGGGTAACGGCGCTGCCTCTGATTCAGTGGGTAACGGCGCTGCCTCTGATTCAGTGGGTAACGGCGCTGCCTCTGATTCAGTGGGTAACGGCGCTGCCTCTGATTCAGTGGGTAACGGCGCTGCCTCTGATTCAGTGGGTAACGGCGCTGCCTCTGATTCAGTGGGTAACGGCGCTGCCTCTGATTCAGTGGGTAACGGCGCTGCCTCTGATTCAGTGGGTAACGGCGCTGCCTCTGATTCAGTGGGTAACGGCGCTGCCTCTGATTCAGTGGGTAACGGCGCTGCCTCTGATTCAGTGGGTAACGGCGCTGCCTCTGATTCAGTGGGTAACGGCGCTGCCTCTGATTCAGTGGGTAACGGCGCTGCCTCTGGTTCTCCCTTCCCTATGCCCTTATCCCTGCCTATTTTAATGCCATAGCAGCAGGAGAAGTGAGCGACCCTGAGAAGTTTGGCTCCCCGGTAGCAGCCGCTGGCATTGTGCGGTATGCTGTCCCTTGCGATACTATGACTATCGGGTGCTGCCTCGAACTCCCCCTTCCCCCTGCCCTCTTCCCTGCCTGTCGTTTTGCCATTGCAGGAGGAGCAGCAAGCGATCCTGAGGGGTTTGGCTCCCTGGCAGCAGCTGCTGGTATTGTGCGGTATGCTGTCCCTTGCGATTCAGTGGCAGCACCTGCAGCAAAACCCGACCCTTCGGATTCGACTGGGGAAGGCGCATCTGGTGGTGGCATGTCGTGCAGGGTTCATCTGGTGGAGGCTGCACTCGAAGAGATCATGAGCATGCACTTCAGCGATGTGAAAAGGACAGCAACAGCAACTGCAACAGCAGATGAGACTGCAAAGGCAGCTGGCTCGTCTGCCTCTTCACTTCCCTCCCCCTCGACTGCATCCCCATCCCCACCACCACCATCCCCCCCTTCCTCTCCCCCTCCTGCCACCCCTACACCTTCACCCCCCACATCACCACCACCACCACCGCCATCACCAGCAGCAGCAATACCAGCACCACCGCCGCCAGCACCCCCAGCGGCAGCAGCAGCAACAAAACCCGCTCCTGTAGTGGCCCACCCCACCCGCAGCTCCCCCGGGTCAGAGAAGGACGAGGGGCCCCAGCCGTCCCCCTGGTATGAGCTGAACGAGCAGCAGTGGGACCAGCACCGTGAGAGGATCGCTGCTGCTGATGGGGGCGCAGGGGCGTTTGACGCCCTGCTTTATAACCTTACTGTGCCGCCTGAAAACGAGGATGAGACAGGGGAAGGAGAGGGAGGAAGAGCGGGAGGAGCAGCAGGAGGAGGGGATGGGGGAGGGGGGGTGAGTGAGGAGGGGAGTGGAGGCCAGAAGACGACAGGAAACTACCGCCCTCCTCCTTTTCCAGATTACTCGGACCATATCCCTGGCACGCGGTTACACACCAAGCGGCAAGTGTTACTTTTCAACAAGTGGATGGAGTGTGTTCTTAGGGAGGGGAGGTGGGTCTTCAATGCCACACCTCGCACCCTCCCCTGGGAATACACCGGATTTATGAACATGTGTGATCATAAGCAGGTGGAGAAACGGAAGGGGAAGGCTGCTTGGGGGGCGGATGAGCTGGTGCTTAAAGGGGTGAGTCCGGATAAGTGGGCGGTAAGAGAAACACTTAAGTACGAGTACTTAGTTCCGGAGGATAAGTGTGGGAATGCTGTGCTTAAAAAGGCAGTGGAAGCAGAGCTGGGTGTGGATGCTGCTGCTGCTGCTGCTGGTGAAAAGGAAGCAGCAGCAGAAGATGAGGAGGTTCCTGTATGGAGGAAATTTGACGGGCTGGATTTCTGCAAGCGGGCAGCTCGGGCAGCCGAAACAAGGCGCGACCGGCTTTGGAGCAACGGCACATCTGCCCTGGCAGGCGAAAAGGCACCGGCAGCAGCAGGCGAGAGATGGATGGATGATCCTCGGAGGATGCACAAGGGGTTCACAGTGTACATCGTGGGAGACTCCCTACAGAATCTCTTTGCAGCCACGTTTCTCAACCACATGCTGTGGCACGTGCACAAGAGCGCGGCGTGGGTGCTCAACCGCACCATCTGCTACCAGTGGGTGGAGCACCTCCCCCACGTGCACTGCCACATGAACTTCTTTAACACCTCAGAGAGTGTCTGCCCCGGGGCGTTCGGTGGGGATGCTGCTGCTGCTGGTGCTGGTGCAGCTGCAGCTGCTGGTGCTGCTGCTGGTGTTGCAGGTGCTGCTGGTGCTGCTGGTGCTGCTGGTGCTGCTGGTGCTGCTGGTGCTGCTGCCGGGGATGTTGGCACGAATGGCAGTAGCAGCAGTGACGCCGGCGCCTTTGCGATGCATTTCACTTCAAACCGGTGGCTCACAGTGGGAGACACTTTCGTGGCTAAGGAAAGCGTCCCTTGGTCCCAACACGGCGCGTTGGTCGATGCTGATGTGCTGTTGATTAACCGAGGGGCACACTTTACTAAGGATGACGCTTATGTAAAAGACTTGCGGCGGGCGCTGCGATTCGTCCGGAGAAACTTCCCTAATAAGCTGATTATCTACAGGAACACTCCGCCGGGGCATTTCAACTGCACCGATAACCTGGGGCCTTTATCGGAACGGCAGCCGGCTGAAATATTGCCGTTTAATTGGGGCGGTTTTATGCGGCAAAATGAGCTGGCAAAACGGCTGGTGGCAGAGGCGGGGGGAATTTACATGGATGTGGAGGGGGTTATGGCTTTAAGGCCGGATGGGCATACCAGCTGGATGGAGGAGACGCCTCGGGATTGCCTGCATTACTGTACTCCGGGGCCTATGGATTTTTATGCGCAGTTTGTTTACAACATATTGCTCCATTCTGTTCTGTAGAGCTGCTTTGGTGTCATTTTTGCCTTTTTTGATGATGTGGTGAAGTAATCCGAACGTTCCACATTCTTCTACCATTGTTTTGCCGCATATTGGGTGAGTGAAGTTAAGGCACATATGAACGATAGATTTAACATGAGATATGTGTACATTTGACGGAGTGTATAAACGATGTAAACGATGCCATGGCTTGTACACTAGACAAAAATGTCGAATTCAGGCTCGGAAACCCGCTAAAAGGCGTAGGGGTGGTCGAACCTTTCACCGAGGAGGCTGTGTGCAGCATACGCGCTAACGTACACTCGCTAAGGAAAGCTAGCCCTCTTTACAGCGTCATATTCTAACGACGGCGGAGGGCTCGACAGCGCATAATTTCGGCGGCGGCAGATTCAGTGCATCTAGTCAGCGAGTGATGGCAGAGGTATTCCGAGCATGTCAGCTTCTTCGGCTTTCATTGGCTGGCAGCCTCGGCTGCTCGGCTCGGCAGGCAGGCCGAGCCGGAGCTGCAGGCCGCGAAACGTCAGTCAGCCTCCTCCTTGGGATAACCGATCACTTGCACGGGGAGATTTCATGATAGAAATGCACCAACATCTCTATTAGTGCCTCTATCCCCATCCTTCTACACCCGATTTCCGCGCTTCCGTCGGTTCGCATCCCATGGCGTCTGAGGCGCAGCAACCCTTGGTGTCGTCTCACGCACAGCCTGCCATGGCGTCGCCTCACGTACAGCAGTCCCGCCAGCAGTGGTGGAAACCAGAGCTAGGGTTCCCCTTCCCCTCCGCGTCTGTGCTCGCCTGCCATGCGTCCGCGCTGCTGCTCGCGGGGATCATAATATACTGGGTCGTGGAGTTTTACGGTGGCGTCACCAGGGAAATACATGTCCGTATCCGTGACTCTTAATTCGCTGAATTCCTTGGCGTCTTTCTGATCCGTGATTCTTAATTCATTGCTTGTCTTCGGTGTCCCCAGCTTTTTCAGGCCAGTCTGACAAAATTTCATTTGCTCGTACTAGAATCTCCAATGTCTGCTTTCTATCATGGCGTGCTGGTGAATGGCAGTGGCATCCTCTCCTCATGACCATCGGCTTCATCATCGTCTTCGGCCAAGGTACTGCTCCCTCACCTTCTTAGATGCAACGAGGAACTTTCTCAGCTTCTGAGCTGACTCGATAACATGTGTCGTGTGACATTGTAACGATGTCGTTTATGAGGTGATTTTTTAGTCGACTCAAAATAAAATGTGACTTTTGAGTCGACTCAAAACACAAATGTGTCGTGGGACATTGTAACGAGGTGGTTTAGAAGTCACTTTGAATGGCGGCGGCATCCGCTCTTCGTGACCAGCGGCTGTATCATTGCCTCCGTCCCAGGTACTACTGGCTCAGTTAGATTAAGGCTTTTTATTTGTGTGATATGAGTTTCGTTTTGAGTCGACTTAAAAGCGAAACTCATATCACACAGGTACTACTTTCTCAGTTAGATGAGGGTTTTTTTTTATAATTCTCAGAAAATTTCCTCTTCACTATCATGCTGACGTATTTGAGTCGACTCAAAAACAAATCCCCTCTTCACGTGCGTATTTGAATCGACTCATTACACACGAATCCCCCCTTCACGTGCGTATTTGAATCGACTCATTACACACGAATCCCCCCTTCACGTGCGTATTTGAATCGACTCATTACACACGAATCCCCCCTTCACGTGCGTATTTGAATCGACTCATTACACACGAATCCCCCCTTCACCATCACGCTGACGTACCGATGAATGGCAGTGGCATCCTCTCTTCACGACGGTCGGCTTTAATCTTAGTATTTGGCCAGCGTACTCCCTCATGTTCAAGCTGATTCCTCAGTTTCCAAGAAAGAAGTTTCTTATGTGCAACCACGCAGTGCCCTTCCAGCTGATTTCGCGGCCACTGCCAACCCCAGTCACCTTTTCTCTACGCCTTCGTTATAAATGAACAATGCAAAAACTACATCTTCGCTTTTGGAACTCCGTTTTTCATTATTTTTCGCTTTCTTTGTTGTTGCTTTCGTGCTTTCCTAGCACCTTCCCTTCCGCATCAGGGCCAGAGAGGGACATATAAAATTCCAGCCTATATCAATGTATCACTTTTAGTGGCACAGCGTGTCGCTATAGCCAATGCTTGAGTCACCTCAGAAGTGTTTCCCTTGCTGCCATGTCCACCAGTTGATGACTGATCCCTGACAGGTATCCTCGCCTGACCTGTATCCTCGCCTCACAGGTATCCTCGCCTGCCTGACAGTTATCCTCGCCTGCCTGACAGGTATCCTCGCCTCGCCTTGCTTGCTCCCCTTCGCAAGGCCCAAGGCCCGCGCTAAACGTTGCGCTGTTCAGAATCGGTTTCCCGTGCTGCCTTGTCCAATCCACAACACCTACACACACCCTGCCACGCATCCTGGCCTACTGCCTGCTCCCCTTCTCAAGGCCCACGTGGAAAGTGGCTCTCCTGGTGATCAACAGCGTGGCGCTGGTGCTGGTAGCCATTGCTGACCCCTCAACAACTGCTACTCTTGCTCCCCTGTCGATCTCTCTCAGGAATCCTGGCCTACCGCCTGCTCCCCTTCTCAAGACCTGCTCGAAAGATCGCTCATCTGGTGATTAACGGCGTGGCTCTGGTGCTGGCGCTGGTGGGAGTAACAGCCGTGTTCAAGTTTTACCAGATCGATTCTGTTCAGCACCTTTACAGCCTGCATTCTTGGTGCGGCTCGGTGGTTCTCGTGCTCTTCGCCTGCCAGGTACTCCCTAAACCATACCAAACCCTTTAACCCTAGCGCTGGTGGGAGTGGCGGCAGTGTTCAGCTTTTACCGGTTCGATTCCGTTCAGCACCTCAACAGCCTGCATTCGTGGTGCGGCTCGGTGGTTCTTCTGCTCTTCGCCTTCCAGGGGCTCCTTAAACCCGAAACCCTTAAAAACTCTTCCGAACCCTTAAAACCCTTGCAAAACTGCGCTGTTTGTCAGTAACGGCAGCGTTCGAGTCCTTCAAGGTGGTTTCCGTTCAGCACCTCTACAGCCTGCACTCGTATTGTAGCTCAGTGGCTCTCCTGCACTTTGCTTGCCAGGTACTCCTAAAACCCCAACTCTTCGAAATCTGTCCCAACCCTGAAACCCTAGTGCTGGGGAGGGGTGGTGGAGTTCCAAGGCTTACAAGTTCGATTCGGTTGAGCACCTTCACAGTCGGCACTCGTGGTGCGGCTCAGTGGTTCTTGTGCTCTTCGCCTGACAGGTTATACTATTATGATGATTTTAGGAAGCTCCTAAATGAAACCCTAAATCTGGTGGTTTATGTGGCTGTCAGCTGTTGTCTGGCCCCACCTTTCCCCGAACCCCTTCCCTCCATCCACTCCACCGCACTCCCTGCTTTGCTTTCTTCTTCCTGCCACCCAGCGTTTCCAAATAACTTACTCCCCAGCCACATCGTACAAGGCTCATACTGTACTATGTATGTTCTTTCCTTTTGAGGCGCCTCAAAAGCAGCCGTATTGTACAAGGCTCATTCTGCACTACCTATTGGTTTTCCTTCAACTCGATCCCTCCTGCAGTGGATCGCTGGTTTTTACACGTTCTTCTATCCCACCAACACTTACACCGCCCGCGAAACTGCCAAGCCTTGGCACACCTTCATGGGCATCTTCCTATTCTGCCTTGCGCTCGCCACTGCATCGCAAGGCATCGCCGAGAAAATGGCGAATACCTTCAACAATGAGGGCGTCAGCAAAAGGAGCCTCTATTCCGTTGTTGCGAATCTGGTCGGCCTCGCGATTTTCACCTACGGTGGAGTAGTTATTTGGACGGCTACGGTAGTTGACAAGGCACAAGAAGATGTTGCCTATAGGATATTGGAATGATTTTTTTTATTTTATTTTTTTGGCCTGCTGCTCTTGTATCTGATGGAGGTATGGCTGGCATGGCTGGGAGCATGGCTGGGAGCATGGCTGGGGGCCTGGCTGGGGGCATGACTGCTGGGATGGCTAAATTGTTGCCATTTTGATGGCTCAAGAGGCTCAACAGCAACAGCAGCAGCAGCAGCAGCAGCAGCGGCGGTCTCAGCACATGGACCCTGTTGCAGTGGCAGGTTTGGTAGGGGAGGCTAGGGGAGTCCAGGTATGGGAGCCCCAGGGGTGGGTGTCAACTTATACATATTATCTATGTAGAAGTTATAGGCTAGACTGAGGTATGCTTCTAGTGAGTACAACCAACTAGTATTTGTTCTAGGTTTCCACCTCTAGTAATCATTCGTTTCTACGTTAACATGGTATCACGCTTAGGTTAGGATCCCCCCGCCTACCGCTTCCGCCCGTCGCGCCTCCTAGGCCCCGTCGCGCCCCCTAGGCCCCGTCGCGCCCCCCCTGGGCCCCGTCGCGCTCGTTAGGCCCCGTCGCGCCCCCCCTGGGCCCCGTCGTGCCCGCTGGGCCCCGTCGCGCCTCCTAGGCCCCGTCGCGCTCCCCCTAGGCCCCGTCGCGCCCGCTGGGTCCCGTCGCGACCCCTAGGCCCTAACGCGCCCCCGCTGGGCCCCGTTGCGCCTCCTAGGCCCCGTCGCGCCCCCCATGGGCCCCGTCGAGCCCGCTGAGCCCCGTCGTGCCTCCTAGGCATCGTCGCGCCTCCTAAGCCCCGTCGCGTCCCCCCCCCTCTGGGCCCCGTCGCGCCCGTTCGGCCCCGTCGCGCCCCTCCTAGGCCCCGTCGCGCCCGCTGGGCCCCTTCGCGCTTCCTAGGCCCCGTCGCGCCTGCTAGGCCCCGTCGCGCACCCCCTGGGCCCCGTCGCGCCCGTTAGGCCCCGTCGCGGCCCCCCTGGGCCCCGTCGTGCCCGCTGGTCCCCGTCGCGCCTCCTCGGCCCCGTCGCGCCCCCCCTGGGCCCCGTCGTGCCCGCTGGGCCCCGTCGCGCCCCTTAGGCCCCGTCGCGCCCGCTGGCCCCTGTCGCGCCTGCTGTTAGCGCTCGCCCGCCTGGCCTCCTCCTAGTGCCGCTCGGCCTCCTCCTAGTGCCGCCCGGCCTCCTCCTAGTGCCGCCCGGCCCCTTCCTAGCGCCGCCCGGCCTCTCCTCAGCGCTGCCCGGCCCCTCCTCGTGCCCGACCGGCCCCAGCAGCACCAGCCTGGCCCCTCCCAGCACCAGCCCGGCCCCAGAGCACCTGCCCGCCTCCCCTGCTCGGCCTGCCGTGTCCTCTCGGGCCCTGTGTCTTCTGCTTGCCTGCGCTGGGACGCCTAGCTGCTGCCCTACTGGAGAGTGCTGCCGCCGTGTCCCCGCGCCGCTGTGCTCCTGTGCCGCTGAGGAGCTGTGCTGCTGTGCCGCTGTGTCGCTGAGGAGCTGTGCCGCTGACCCTGCACGATGGCTGACTTTGTGCTCCGCCTGGACGCTGAGGGCCACGCGGTTGACTTCGCCGCCTGGCTCTCCGATCTTCGCCGCCAGCTTACAGGTCAGCGCCAGGATGGCCACTCTCTGGTTGTCCATGCTGATGGCTTGCTCCCCCGTCCCCCTGCACCTACTCCCCTCCCTGCTGACCCCTCCTCTGATGACCGTGAGGCTTTCTCTACTGCTGCGCTGGCCTGTGCGATCTGGGACTCACGCGATGCAGTAGCTCAGGTTGCTATTAGTCACGCCCTCCCTGTGTCTGAGCGCTCGCGTTTTGCTACTGTTGAAACGGCCAAAGCTTATTTAGACGCCGTTATTGCTCGCTCTTCCACCCCTGCCTCCGCTTCTGCTGGCCGCTTGCTCTTTCCGATGCTGTTCCCAGACCTGGCTGCCTTCCCTACTGTCGCAGATTTTGCCACTCATTTGCGTGCCCTAGAGACTCGCTATCGCACTGCCAGCACTGCTGCCCAGCTCACTGCGCTCCCCCCTCCTTTCTGCATGACGCTCTATTTTATCGCTATGCGCCTGCCAGACCGCCTCGCTAGTGCTCGCGACCACTTTCTTAGCCAGCACCCGGGTGACCTCACCCTGACCGCCTTTGTCGACACCCTCACTGAGATCGAGACTCGCCAGCGCACTATCGCTCAGTCGAGCGGTGCGCCGCCAGTCTCTATCTTTCACGGCTGTGCCCCATCCCCGTGCACGTTCACTGACGTTTCGGCTGCGGTCGCCACGGCGACCCCTCTTACCGAGACGGCTGCTGCTGTCCACCCGCAGCAGCGCTCGCGTTGTGGTGGCCGTGGCCGCCAGGGAGGTAGGGGTGGTGACGCAGGTGGTAGTGGTCGTGGTGGTGGTGACGGTAGTCCGCCTGAGGGGACTACCACCGGTGGGCAGGAGCAGCAGTCCCAGCAGCAGCAGGACCAGCCGCAGCCGCAGCCGCCGTCCCAGCAGCACCCGCCGCAGCCGTGGGCTCGTCTCCCGCCTGGTTGGCCCGGCACCTCCGGAGGCGGTGGCCGTGGTGGCGGCCCGCGCAGCTTGGCGTCTACCAGCGGCTCCAGTGCTGTGACCTGCCAGTACCAGCTTCAGACCGGGCCTCTCCGCGGCACTCTGTGCCGCCGCCCGCACCCGACCGCCCGCTGTTTCCGCCGCCTCGACGATCTTTTTCGTCGTCGCTTTGGCCCGGCCCCGGACCTCCCTGACTGGCACAGCCTGCTCCGCCAGGGCGTGCCGATCTTTGAGTTAGACATGGATCAGATAGGTGCTGCTTTGCATGCTTTGTATGCTGACGCTTCTAGTGTTGATGGATCTTACTACCATGTGTACTCTAGTTTAGGTGTTTCACCCTTGTGTAGCTTAGCTTCCCCTGCTGCGACAGGCGTAGGACTGCCTAGGTTGCCTAGTCTAGTCGCTGCACCGGCTCCGTCCCCGGCCCCCGCCACTGCGTCGCTGTCCTTCACTCTCGACTCTGGTGCTTCTGCCTGCTTCTTCCGCGACCGTTCCACGCTCACGCCGCTTGCTGCACCTGCTGTTGTCTCTCTCGCTGACCCCTCTGCGGGTCCGGTCGTCGCGCGCAGTTCTACGTCCCTTCCCTGTCCGGCAGTTCCCTCGGGCTCCCTTACTGGCCTCCACGTTCCCTCGTTCTCCAGGAACCTGGTTGGTGTCGGCTGTCTCCAGGACCTCGGCGTCACCACCACGTTCCCCGGGCACGAGCGGTTCGCTGTCTGTTCTGAGGCTGTCTCAGGTTCCCCCCTTGCGACGTTCCCCCGGGACCCGGTGTCCGGTCTGTTTACCCTACACACCGCTTCCCCCCCGGTTGGTGCGTCCTCCCAGGTCGCTGCAGCTTGCTCGTGTCGGTCCCTCACTCACCCCTCCCTTCTCTGGCACCACCGCTTAGGTCACCCTGCTCTCCCGCGTCTGCGTCACATGTCCCAGCACGGTCTTGTCTTAGGTCTCCCCGCGTCGCTCCCTGCCCTTCCTCCCTCGACTGCGCCACCGTGCACGCCTTGCGTCGAGGGTCGGCTCCGCCGTGCTCCTCACTCCTCCTCGCTGCGTCCTGCTACTGCCCCCCTTCAGACCCTGCACTTGGACGTTTGGGGCCCTGCCCCCGTCCCCGGACCGCGCGGTGAGCGCTACTTCCTTGTGCTTGTCGACGACTACACGCGCTACACCACGGTGTTTCCCCTGGAGCGGAAGGCCGACGTGCCCGACGTTCTTCTCCCGTGGGTTGTGGCTGCGCGTCTCCACCGCGGTCTCCCCGTATTGTGTCTCCACTCCGACCGTGGCGGCGAGTTCGCCTCTGGTCGGCTTGGACAGTTCTGTCGTGCGGAGGGCATCACCCAGTCGTACACGTTGCCGGACTCGCCACAGCAGAATGGGGTTGCTGAGCGCCGCATCGGCTTGGTCATGGAGGTCGCCCGTACCTCCATGATCCATGCCGATGCCCCCCATTTTCTGTGGCCGTTCGCTGTTCGCTACGCGGCTCACCAGCTTAACCTGTGGCCACGCTCCCAGCGGCCGCAGGTTTCGCCGACCCTCCTTTGGACCGGGTCCCCCGGTGACGCGTCTGCGTTCCACGTCTGGGGCTGCCTTGCTCACGTTCGTGCCTCTGGCACGGACAAGCTCACTGCCCGCACTGTCCCCTGTGTCTTCCTCGGTTTCCCCCTGGACTCGTCTGACTGGCTTTTCTACCACCCGCCGTCTCACCGCTTCCTCCACTCTCGTGACGTCACCTTTGACGAGTCCGTCTCCTTCTACCGCCGCTTCCCTCACCGAGGTCTCCCAGTTGCCCCCCCCCTTTTCCTTGCTCCCTCTCCCCCGGTAGCCCCTGCCCCTCTCCCGCCTCGTCCTGCCCCGTCTGGTGTCTCCCACGTCACTCCCCTCCGTCGGTTGTCCCCGTTGAGGAGTCTGCTGACTCTGGTGGTACCCCCGGTCCGTCCTTGCCGCGTCCCCCTTCCCCGGTGCCTCCGCCCCACTGTCGCAGTCGCCGACCCCGCTGCCGCCGCCGTCGCCGTCGCCGCCGCAGCCGTCGCCGCTGTCGTCGCCGCCGCCGCCGCTGTCGCTGCCGCAGCCGTCGCCGCTGTCGCCGCCGCCGCAGCCGTTGCCGCCACTGCCGCCGCTGCTCTCGGCCCCTGGGGGTGCTGGTGTGGAGGAGGGTGTTCGTCCTGCGGCTTCTGGGGGTGCCACTGGTGTTGGAGGGGGTTCTCGCTCTGGGGGTGTTGGTTCTGGGGGTGCTGCTGTTGAGTGTTCTGCCGACGGTCGTTCTGCCTCTGCTGGTCCGAGAGTTCCGGCCCAGCCGTCGTCGCCGCCGCAGCAGCCGTCGCCGCCGGTTTCCGCTCTCCGCCTGCTCGGCCTTCCCTCCCCGGACCGCGCGCCGGTGTCTCCCCCACCGCCTCCTGACCTCCCTGTCTACGGTCTTGTGTTCCCGCCGCCAGACTCGTCTCCGGCCCGTCTTCCTCCTCGTTCCCCTCCTGTGTCTCCTCCGCTGTCCCCTGACCCTACCCCTCCGTCTCACGTTTGGGCTCGCCGTCCCTCCCGTGCTCGTCCCGTCTCTCCTGTCCTGCCCACCCACCCTATGTTGCTCCGTTCCCACTCGTCTCGTCCTCCCCTCCTCCCGTCCCCTCCTCCCTCGTCCCTTGCTGTTGCACCTCCTCCGTTCTCTGACTACCTCCGTGCTGCTCGTCCCCTTGTCCCTCGGGTCCTTGCCTCTCTTGTTACCGACCCTGCTGTTCCTGTCTCGCGCCTTGACGCGCTTGTCGCTGCTGTCGCTGACTTCGCTTCTACCCGCCGCCTTGACTACGCTACCGCTCTGGTCTCTGACCCTGCCCGTCCTCTGTCCGTCGGGGGTGCTCCTGCCCTTGGCAGTGACGTCCTAGAGGACAGGCAGTACGAGCTGGCTTTCCTTTCCGAGGCTGCTCCCCATCTCTGCTCCATGCTGTTAGTCCCTGAGGGTGACCCAGACGCCTTCGACATCCCGACCCCTCGCACCTACGCTGAGGCCACCTCGGGACCTTGGGCCTCTCAGTGGATAGCTGCCATGGAGCAGGAGATGGCATCTTGGAGATCCACCGGCACTTACGTCGACGCAGTTCCCCCGCCTGGGGTGAACGTAGTCGATGGTCGGTGGCTCTTCAAGGTGAAGCGCCCCCCTGGAGAGCCGCCTGTCTTCAAGGCGCGCTACGTGGCCAGAGGTTTCAGTCAGCGCGAGGGGGTTGACTTCTTCCAGACCTTCGCCCCGACCCCGAAGATGACCACTCTTCGGGCGCTGCTACACGTAGCAGCACAGCGTGACTACGAGCTTCACTCCCTCGACTTCTCTACTGCCTTTCTTCAGGGCAGCCTACACGAGCAGGTCTACCTGCGCCGACCACAGGGCTTCACTGGTACCTTCCCTCCTGGGACCCAGTGGCTTCTCAGGCGCCCGGTCTACGGCCTGCGTCAGGCTCCCCGCGAGTGGCACGACACGCTACGTGCCACGTTAGCAGACCTGCAGTTCTTTCCGTCCTCTGCTGACCCTTCACTGTTTGTGCGTTCCGGCCAGACTCCGTTCTACATCCTTGTCTACGTAGACGACCTGGTCTTCGCTACTCCTGACAGGGACGCACTGGCCTCTGTGAAGGCTGAGCTGCTGAAGAGACACACCTGCACTGACCTTGGAGAGCTGCGTCGCTATCTTGGCCTGCAGATCTCTAGGGACAGAGCAGCACGCACCATCACTCTGACCCAGTCACACTTGGTGCGTCAGGTCCTTCAGAGGTTCGGTCTTCAGTTCTCCTCCGCACAGCCCACACCTCTACCCGTAGACCATGGGCTCTCTGCTCCCGTTCCTGAGGAGCCAGTAGAGCCCAGTGGCCCCTACGCAGAGCTGGTGGGTTGCCTCATGTACCTGATGACTTGCACTCGCCCAGATCTCGCATACCCTCTCAGCATCCTGGCTCGCTTTGTGGCTACAGGCAGACACCGACCTCAGCACTGGTCTGCCGCTAAGAGGGTTTTGCGTTATCTTGCTAGTACATCAGGCATGGGGTTAGTGCTAGGAGGACGCAGGCCAGTGGTCCTTACTGGGCACACAGACGCTTCTTGGGCAGACGACGCTGAGACGCTCAGGTCGTCGCAGGGCTACTGTTTCAGCCTTGGTTCGGGTGCTATCTCTTGGAGATCCACTCGCTCGTCGTCTGTGGCTCAGTCTAGCTGTGAGGCTGAGATCTACGCTGGTGCCATGGCGGCACAGGAGCTCCGCTGGCTGACCTTCTTGCTCACAGACTTAGGTGAGCGGCCTAGCTCTGCCCCGGTCCTGTACGCTGACAACAGGGCCATGATACTCCTGTGTCAGGAGCCTCGGCTTGAGGGCAGAGCGAAGCATATCCAGCTGCGGTACTTCCTCCTGCGCGAGCTGCAGCAGCGCCGCCAGGCCCGCGTAGTTCACTTGGCCTCAGGTGCCAACACAGCTGATATCTTTACTAAGGCGCTTGCGCCTAAAGATCATCAGCGGCACTGTGTACAGCTTGGTCTTGTTCCTATAGCTGCTCCCCTGTTAGGATCCTGATTGTGTACTCTCTATTATATATGCTTGTCAGACTGGCCTTGTGGCCTTACCTCCAGTGGCTGGACTAGTAGTGCCACCCTGGCTTGCTTCAGTTTTGGTTGTATTCTTGCTGACTGGTCTCCAGACCCCTGCCTCAGTGGTTGGACTAGTAGTGCCGCCCTGAGCTGTTTGCTTCTTGTTTAGTTTCACCCCTTGTCTAGCCTAGGGGGTGTGTCAACTTATACATATTATCTATGTAGAAGTTATAGGCTAGACTGAGGTATGCTTCTAGTGAGTACAACCAACTAGTATTTGTTCTAGGTTTCCACCTCTAGTAATCATTCGTTTCTACGTTAACAGTGGGTGCTTCTAGTGCTGTGGCAGCAGGGGGGCATTGCAAGCAAGGCTGTAGAGAGGAGGTGCAAGAGGAGTTATGGATAAGGCATGAGGGGATGATGGGCAGTGGGGCAGGGGAAGGTGGGGGGTGTCAGTCAACATATATATTTTATAGATATATATGTATAGGCTAGGTAGGTGTACTACAGAGTGCTGGTTCCTACTATAGAGGGTACAACACAACACCCTTCTTGTATCTCTCTCTCTTGTCAAGTTCTCCCCTCTTTTCTCTTGCTCAACTTCTCTCTACCTACCTAAACCCTACTTCCCTACTTTAACAGGGGGGAAGCAGGAGGGCTAATCTACAGTACCGTAACTGGACTGGAACATAGGAGCAAGAGCAGTTATCCGCAGCTCAATTGGAAAACGTGGTCCTAAAGTTTTGGGCTAACATACATGAGCATCAAATTAAGGCTAATAATACATGCATGCTTTGAAATGGGTGTTCCAAGTGGCCAGATATTGAATTGATTGTCTTATCCACAGGTGATGTTTGATTCATATATTTTCTATGTTACTACCCACTCGCGTTATTGTGATGGAACATTGTAGATCTGAGGATGTGCCAGCTCTTTGAAAAGCGGCTGTTGTGTATCGTTTACGATGTCTTGTAATGGGCACCTTGAACCGGGGATTCAAGCTTCTCGTTTCGTGACGTGAGAAATCGGTTGAAACGATATGGTCAACGAGCTTCGGTGAGTTGACTCGTTCCCTTTATGCGTTGACTCAATGTTTGCTTTTGCCCATGTGGCTGCCGCTGCTTGGTTAATTTCTTGACGCCTGAGTCAGCGCGCGACCCGAGTGATGCATTTGCGAATCGCGATTTGAGTCCCGCTCGCGTCGCGATGAGGGTACAAAAAGCGGCAGGTTCTTTCGACATTACCAATTTCCCTTACAACACCACTCACACTTCAGAAAGGTACCAGAATCATATCATATTCTTGACACGCGACAACGAACTTGAACCCTCTCGCGGCAACTAGACTCCTCCTAACTTGGGAAATTCCCGCTGCAACGTCGGCAACACCAGCCGCCATGGCACTGGGATTCTCTCTCTCGCTTAGTCAGCATCGCCGCCGTACTATCCTGACTACTAAGGATGGTCAGGATCGGAGCACCTGCCTTCTCCTCATCTCCCTCGTCCTGCTCTCGTCCCTCCACGCCGCCTTCGCATTTCGCTTCCCCGCGGGACTCCGCGTGGAAAAGCTGCGCGGAATGATGGGCGGAAATGCGCGAGGCGGACGATCGAACGGCCAGCAGCAGGGCAGCGGAATGGGCGGAAGCGCGATGGGTGGCGGGGGAATGGGTGGCGGCGGAATGGGAGGCAGCGGAATGGGAGGCGGTGGAATGGGCAGCGGCGAAATGAGCGGCGGCGGAATCGGCGGGGGAATGGGCGGCGGCGGAACGGGAGGCAGCGGAATGGGCGGAGGCGGAATTAGCGGCGGCGGGATGGGAAGCGGCGGAATGAGTAGCGGCGGGATGGGCGGCGGCGGCGGAATGGGCGGCGGCGGAATGGGTGGCGGTGGAATGGGCGGCGGCGGAATGGGTGGCGGCGGAATGGGCGGCGGCGGGATGGGCGGAGGAGGAATGGGTGGCGGCGGAATGGGAGACAGCGGAATGGGAGGCGGAGGAATGGGCGGAGGACAAATGGGCGCAGGAGGTATGGGGGGAGGCATGGGTGGCGGAATGGGAGGGCGCGGCTCGGGATCGTTTGCTCCAGGGTCGCAGGCAGCACCCGGACAGGGCGGACCTGGGATGGGCGGCGGAGTCGGCGGACCTGGGGTGAGCATGGGTGTCGGCGGAATGAGCGGCGGCGGGATGGGCGGCGGCGGAATGGGCGGTGGCGGTATGGGCGGCGGCGGCGGAATGGGTGGCGGTGGAATGGGTGGCGGCGGAATGGGTGGTGGCGGAATGGGCGGCGGCGGGATGGGCGGAGGAGGAATGGGAGGCGGAGATATGGGCGGAGGAGGAATGGGCGGAGGACAAATGGGCGCAGGAGGTATGGGGGGAGGCATGGATGGCAGAATGGGAGGGCGCGGCTCGGGATCGTTTGCTCCAGGGTCGCAGGCAGCACCCGGACAGGGCGGACCTGGGATGGGCGGAGGAATGGGCGGACCTGGGGCGAGCATGGGTGGCGGCGGAATGGGCGGCGGTGGGATGGGCGGAGGTCAAATGGGCGCAGGAGGTATGGGCGAAGGGATGGGTGGCGGAATGGGAGGGCGCGGCTCGGGGTCATTTGCTCCAGGGTCACAGGCTGCACCCGGACAGGGCGGACCTGGGATGGGTGGCGGAATGGGCGGACCTGGGGGGAGCTTGGGTGGCGGCGGGATGGGCGGAGGAGGAATGGGGGTAGGCATGGGTGGCGGAATGGGAGGGCGCGGCTCGGGATCGTTTGCCCCAGAGTCGCAGGTAGCACCCAGACAGGGCGGACCTGGGATGGGCGGCAGAATCGGTGGCGGAATGAGCGGCGGGGGAATGGGCGGCCCTGGAGGAAGCATGGGCGGACCTGGGGGTAGCATGGGCGGACCTGGGGGGAGCATGGGCGGACCTGGGGGGAGCATGGGCGGACCTGGGGGCAGCACGGGCGGACCTGGGGGAAGCATGGGCGGAAATGGGGGCAGCATGGGCGGACCTGGGTCATCTGCTCCCGGGTCAGACGCAGCCATGGGCCCTGGAGGGGGCATGGGCGGACCTGGGGAGGCCATCGGCAGACCTGGGGGTGCCATGGGCGGACCTGGGGGGGCCATGGGCGGAATTGGGTCATCTGCTCCTGGATCAGAAGCAGGCATGAGTCCTGGGGGGGGCATCGGCGGAGGCATGGATGGTGGCATGGGCGGATGCACGGATGGTGGTATGGGCGGAGGCACGGATGGTGGTATGGGCGGAGGTACGGGTGGTGGTATGGGCGGAGGCATGGATGGTGGTATGGGTGGAGGCACGGATGGTGGTATGGGCGGAGGCATGGATGGTGGTATGGGTGGAGGCACGGATGGTGGTATGGGTGGAGGCATGGATGGTGGTATGGGTGGAGGCACGGATGGTGGTATGGGCGGAGGCATGGATGGTGGTATGGGTGGAGGCACGGATGGTGGTATGGGCGGAGGCATGGGGCGTTGAAGGGACGAGGAGAATACACATGGCCACAGTAGCGTCCTCATGTGCGTCAGATTGTGGCGTGTATCTATTTCTGTCAGACCTGGTAGGAGCTTGGCCGCAGCAGCACCTCCAGCCGAGTGCTTGCTGAGTGCTGCTTCGTCCAACCTCCTCACCCAATGTAGTCCTTTGGTGCCCTGCAGAGCATATAGGCAGAGTATTTGTGCTTGAATTCTTATTGGAACGGGTCACTGGTGACGATGGCATCTTCTGTTTTCCGAGAATGTGTATGCTTGTCCCCAAGCTCGATAAAATCACGCAACATAACAATGGGCACCAAGCAAGTTACATGTTACGGAGGTCCAACTCTCTCCAGCGTGTCAAGCGTCACGGCTGGTAACCACTTGAAGGACTCAGGGGAAAGGACCCCCCCACCACAGAAGAAGGCACACGGGGGCTGTGTCTTCTCCCTGTCAGGGTCGCGGCATGAGACAGACGCTGGGTCCTTCTCCACCCCTGTTGCTGCCACAATGCTGCCATGGGGGATGTAAGGGGAGGGATGGACGGGGAAGGGAAGAGGTGAGGTGATGAGAGAGGAGCAGAGGTGGGGTGTGAATAAGAAGAAAGCACGTTCTCGCTGTGTCCTCTCCCTGTCAGGATCATTGCAGTTGACTTGACTTGGCTGACTCTGTGTACTCTCTGGTTTTCTTATCGCATTGCGCACGCTGTCTCGACCACTTCGCCGCCACCCACAGCTTCGTCGGCGACATCTTCCTCAGATCGTGCATACGATGTTGTACGTTGCTCATGGTCTCCTTCGCATGTTTCTGGCACAGCAAGGCACAGTCCGAGTAGCTGCTCCCGTATTGGTGCTTGTCGAGATGCCGCTCGTGCACCTTGTACGTGTGGGTGACCGGGTTCCCCTCCTTGTCGACGCCGTGCAACTTCACACGCTTCGACCCCCCGTGCCCGTACACTGTTAGGAATGCCGACAGCCAAGTGTTTTTGGCGCCGGCACTGAAAACCTCCCCACACTCGACATACCGGTGTCGCAGATCCCCGAACGTCTCGTCGATGTCCGTTGATACCTCGGTCACGTCGACCTGCGGTTTGGGGTGGGGGACACACGGTGACAGAGAACCAAAGGAGATATTAATACAAATAGAGGAGGAGAACACCACCATCGCAGCCTTTAACAGCTCACCTCACGTTTCTGGAACTTGAGGTTGAGGTCGTTCATGACTGCGAGCATGTCTGCCAGGTAGAAGAGGCTGAACTAAAACTTATACGAGGTCACAACTTCATACAGAGGATGCTCATACTCATACAGCAGCACAATCGAAGCACCCAACACCTTACACAGGCGTCGGATGGCCTCACCCCTAGACAACTATCGAACTTGATGGATGCCTTGCACCTCCAAGTTAGTGCTGTGAATCGCGCCCTGGAGGTACTTGAAGCGTCTGCTCCAGACGCTCGACCGGCCGAGAAGGTCCGCAAGGGTGCGAGTAACCTTATCAACCATGTTGAGTTATGGACATGAGGCGGCAGCATCCTTCACAGCTAGGGCTTCCCTGCAAGTACTGTATACATAAGGACGTTGGTTAGCACACGGACACAAATCCCGAGAACGAAGCTGTTCACAATAGTACCACAAAAATGTGGGCAATGCAGTGGGAAGAAACGAGGTGTGGGATGATGTCACGCAGGCGCGCAATAAGGCCGTTGACACGATCGACCATCACTGACGCTCCATCAGTGCTGATGTTGACGATGCGTTGAAAATCGATGCCGGACGACTCCAGGTGCATTAGGAGAATGGACATCAGAGAAGCTGCATCGCACTTGTCCACGGTTAGCAGAGCGAGGAATTCCGTAATGACTCGACGCAGACGCATGAAGGCGATGTAGACAATCAGGTGCTTCCCTCGCATGCGGTCGGTGCTCTCATCGCATGGGATGCCGAGGTAGGGTGAGCTCTTGATGTGCTCCATCTGAGTTGCCAGCAGATGTATTGACAGAACAGTTGACCATCTGCTGGAACCTGTACCTGCAGAGGCATGATGAGGGACAGTCACTCGTTAGAATACGGCAACATATGGGAAACAACAGAAATTCAACAGACGCTGAGCGATAACATCGTAACCTCACCTGGTCAGATACACTCCGTATGACTGTAGAGGAATGTCAGGCGTGTCTTGCTCTGCCATGAAACGGAGCAGTCATGGAAACATGGCGATAGGAGCATCGCTCTTCCAAAGAAATTCGACGCACCGCAAGAGACGGATGACGCGACGACCCTCGACATCTTCGGTAGCAAAACTCGTTATCTTCTGCTGCTTGTCATTGATGTCTTGTTGTATCTCCAACTGTCGGTGAACCGCGTCTTCATGGACCGTAGAGTGTTCGTGGATGCACATCGTCTGGGTCTGGAGATCTTGCTCGCCTTCGCTTGGGCTCGAGTACTTCGTCGTCTCCTTGCCGAGAGCTCGGCAAACACTGCACTTAAGGGCAGGGTACCCATCCTTAGTACGGGTAAGTATTAGCCACGGGAAGTAGCGAAGCCAATCATTCTTGTACTTAGCTTCAGTGATCAGGTACTTCTGCTCGATTATCTCCTTTGTACTTAACTTCGGTGGCGGTGGTTCATCAGGGCGGGTGATAGGGGGAGGTGAGCGCGGTGGTGAATGGGGGCGAATCTGGCCACCAAGGTTAATCCGCTGTTGCGTGTACTTTGTCGTGCGTTGTTTCTTCGCCAAAGACATGGTAGACGCGCACGGAACGCTGTACGGAACGGTTGATGCGGTGGCGCAGTCGATAGGATCATTTACAGGCCCTCTGCTAGAAGATGTTACAGCTGGTGGGAGAACGTAGGGAGCGGAGGCATGACTACATGGCAACGGTGGCTCGACGCGCGGTGGTTCGTCGACTGCGGCTGGGGCGACCGATGGGGGGGGAACATGTGCGGCGATGGGCCGCAAGAAATCTAAGCCTCTCCTAGGTGCTACGGCAGGCTCCTTTCGACTGTACGGCTCATCACCATCAGCAGGAGCATTGTCGACGCCACCTGTGTTAGGCATGGCGAGAGGTGAAACAACGGGGGGAACTAAATGATGCGATTATAGCTATGCGTGTGAGACAGAGAATGAGGAGATGAAAGGACTCCTCCTATAAAACATGAAGCAGTGTGAATCAGACAGATGAGTAAGGAACGATAGGAGAAGAAGGGAGACATCAAACCCGTGTCGCACCTTTCTTGAAAGGCGCTACGCGGTCTTCGGGCCTGTCCTTGCACAACCCAACACCATGCAGCCATCGATGTGTTGGCTGCATTTGCAGCCAATCGGGTAGTTGCCCAACCTCAGGAAGGCTGGCAGATAGGGTTTGGGGCCCGAGTTTCACGCATGCACAGAGAGCGTCAGAGCAGAATCTGCAGTCCTTACAGGTTTGGCATGGCAGCATTATGCCGCGCTGCGTGGGAAAGTGTCCACTGTGGGCAGAGTACACGTTGGACTTGGCGGGATTTCCTGCTGAGTGTGGATTCTGCACGTGACGCGGACGGGAAGCACTGATGGTGGGCAAAATTTCGGGGGAACCTGCGGACCCCAGGGAAGTCGGTTCAGGGTCCGTACGCGCTGCACTCTGGAACCTCAGTACTACCTTAGCGTCAGGTCTGAATTGTTTAGGATCCCCAAAACCTTACTCTGAATCAATCAGGACTGGGAAAATGGGTTGTATGGAAATTAAGGTTCGCACATTACACCGGTCTGAGATTTCATACTAATCAGAGTAAATAGTTCACGTCGCCGTGGCGGCCGTGTCGTGCTGCCATGGCGGCTTTGTCATGCTGCCGCGGCAGCCTCGACGCGGCGGCTTCGTCGTGGCTCCGTCGTGCCGCCGTGCCGTCGTCGTCGCGTCAGCGCACGGGGGGTAGTGGGTTACTCACTGGTTTAGGCACCAGGCAGCAAGCCCGCACTCCAGCTCGCCGCGTCTCCTCAGCTAGTCCCGTCGGACCCTGCTCGCCGCGTCGGACCCAGCTCGCCGCGTCGGACCCAGCTCGCCGCGTCGGTCCCAACGGACCCAGCTCGCTGCGTTGGTCCCAGCTCGCAGCGTCGGTCCCAACTCGCAACGCCAGCCGGCTCCGCCCCGCCGCAGCTCGAGGATGCCTAGCGCCTTCCTTCCCTGCAGTCACCTCTGCTGCAGGGTATGGGGGTGCTAGGCTTAGAGGTGTTGCATGTGGGGGTGGGCTTGTGACTACCAAGCCTAGGGGGTGTGTTAAATTATATATTTTGTTATATAATTGGTAGGCTTGGTAGGTTACCGAACTCTACTGTAGAGGGAACAACTCCCTCCTTGTATGCCTCTCTCTTCCTAGTTTCTCACATTTTCCTCTCGTCAACTTTCTCTCCTAGCTCCTAGCTCCTAAACCTCTCGCCATTTCATGGCCCCCTTCCTTCCTAGCTAAATTAGTCTTCTAACATGGGAGCCCCAGGGTCGGGTGCTTCTGCTGCTGTGGCAGCAGGGGCATTGCAAGCTAGGCTGTTGAGAGGAGATGCATGAGGAGTTATGGATAAGGCATGAGGAGATGATGGGCAATGGGGCAGGGGAAGGTGGGGGGAAGCAGGAGGGCTAATCTACAGTACCGTAACTGGACTGGAACATGTGTGCAAGAGCAGTAATCTGCAGCTCAACTGGAAAACAAGGTCCTTCGGTTTTGGGCTAACATACATGAGCATCAAATAAAGGCTAATAATACATGCATGCTTTGAAATGGGTGTTCCAAGTGGCCAGATATTGAATTGATTGTTGTTGGGCTGAGAAAAAGCCCTTAGGATCTTTTGCAGAGACTAAGTCCCAGCTTGTAGAGACTTGAGACTTGGAGTAGTGCAGCGGAAGTTGAGGCAGTTGAACCCTTGTACTAGTATGTGAGAACAAGTGATTGATTAAAGAAACAAGCATACAGCAATATATAGAAGATAAGAAAGCAGTTGTAGAATACAGTTACAGGAACGGTTTATCGAGTCGCACAGCGACTCGATTGCCGCTTCGGTTACCATCCGTGATGTTGTAACGGTCAGTCGCAACCTCCAGTTGCGACCTTTCGAGTCCTTTCGCATTCTTTGTCCGCCCCCTCGTGTAACCTCCGTTGACTCGCGTGCTCCCCTGTAATCTTCCTCGAGTACAGTGTTACACTTCAGAAACGCTTAAGTCCTTGAGATATTTCCAACACTCCCCTTCGTTTCTGGAGTGCTGGAGTGTTCAGATCCGGTGACGTTTGTTTGCCCGGTTAGGAGCATGCAGTAGTCGAATTTTGCTTTCGCCAATTTCTTCGTCAGATAATCTGCGGCCATTTCTGTCGTCGGGCAGTAACTGAGTTGAAGTCTCCCCTTCGCGATTTCATCCTTGACGAAGAAGTACCGCAGGGCGATGTGCTTGGTTCGGTTGGCGAAGCCGTCCTTGTTCGCGATTTTGATCGCAGATTGGTTGTCGCAGAGGAGTGAGAAGGCGGGCAGGGTCGCGATCTTCGCTTCTTCGAGTAACTCTCGTAGGTAGAGTCCTTCCTTGGTCGCAGTACAAAGGGCGATATACTCTGCTTCAGCCGAGGATAGTGCGATTAACTCCTGCTTGCTCGACTGCCAGGAGATAGTTCCGATAGGTTCTAGTCGGTAGATGTAGCCCGTCCTAGACCGTCGATTTTCGCTGTCTCCCGCGTGGTCGGCGTCGACGTATCCGAGTAGTTGTACGGACGGTGTTGTTGTCTTGCTGTAGGTGAGCCCGATCGTCGGCGTGGAGACGAAGTAGAGTAGCGCTCGATTGAGTTCTTCGAGATCTTCCTGTTGCGGCTGCTTCAGATGTGTCGCCAGCTGACTCGCACTATAGGATAGGTCGGGTCGGTAGGTTACTGCTGCGAATAGTAGGCAGCCGAGCTTCTGTTGATACTCCTGGATTTGTTTCGCGGGGAGTTTTGTGGAGGCGCTACTGTTGTTCCCGTAGCGGTAGGGAGTTGGGACCGCAGTCGGTGCTAGACCGAATTTCTTCGCGACGGTGCTTGAGTACTTTCCAGCGTGTAGGTAGAACGCCGTGTCGTCTTCGACGATGTTCAGTCCTAGGTACTGAGTAACTTCGTCGGACACCGTGAGAGTTAAATCTTCTTTCAGCTCCCCTTCGAACCAGGTGGCGATGTCGATAGTGGAGCCGATGTAGAGCAGGTCGTCGACGTAGACGATGAGCAGAACATAATCTCTTCCCTTCTGCAGTCGGTACATCCCTTGGTCATGCGGTAATTGTAGGAAGCCGATCTTTGCGAGACGGCCGTGGAGATGCTGCTGCCAGAGCCGCGGGGCTTGCTTGATCCCGTATAGGGATTTTGTCAGTCGGCATATTTTCGTGGGATCGTTGATGAATCCGTGGGGTTGTTCGACGAAGATCTCAGCGTCCACAGGTGCGTATAGGAATGCATTCGCGACATCGATTTGGCGTAGTGGCAGTTTTTTCGTGGCCGCGACGGCGAGTAGGATGCGTAATGAGGTGTGACGGGAGACTGGAGCGAAGGTTTCTGTGTAGTCGGCTCCGTATCGTTGGTCGAAGCCTCGTACGACCCATCGAGCTTTGAATCGTTCGATGGAACCGTCTGAGTTGGTCTTGATGCGGTACACCCATTTCCCCGAGAGAACGTTTTTTCCGTTGATGCTCGTTGCAGGTACCAGTTTCCATGTTTCTCGGTCTTGCAGAGCTTTTAACTCCTTTTCCATTGCTTCCTTCCATCTTGCCTTATGTTCCCCCCCAGAGCCTGCGACAACGTTGAAGGCTCTCGCGGAGAAGGCGGCGGCGGATTCTGGACGGAGACCCAGAGGCCTAGAATCTGGAGTCCCGTGGGCGTGTGTCGAGGGGAATTTTCATTCCCGGAATAAGCTGCTTCGTCACCGTCTTCGGGGTCAGGTAAGAAATTGGGGCCGATGCGTTCCGAAATATTCGTGTCGACGGGGTGAGGTGTAGCGTAACCTTGGTCGGCGAAGTGGTAAAAGGTGTCGAGGTTGTTGCTATCGAGGGGATTTTCTTCATCGAGTGGAACAGGTACGGAACAGAATGGGAGTGGTCCGGCAGCTTCCGAGGCTCCAGGTACGTCTTCTTCTGCTGCGTCAGCCTCGGCAGTATGGTCAGCGAAGGAGCGAAGGCCCGCGAAGCCGTCGGTGGGGTCTTGTGTGTTGGCAAGGTTGTCCAGGTAATGCTGCAGCGTCAGTCGTTCGTAGAAGATAACATCGCGTGATGCCACCGTGTTTTTGTCTTGTATGTCGAGAATTTTCCACGCGTGAAAATGTTTTGCGATGCCGAGGTGTAGTCCCCATCGAGCTCTTTGTGAGAAGCGTCCTGCTCGGGCTGTGTGGGGTCTGTACTGTACCATGCAGCCGAAAACGCGGAGTAATTTTGTGCTGCCCCTTTTTCTTGTCCACAACAGGTGCGGTGATGCGTTGTTGGGAAGTGATGACGAGGACAGCAGGTTGTGCAGGTGAACAGCATGTGTCATCGCGTCTGGCCACAGTGCGTTGGGCAGCCTCATCCCCAGAAGCAGTTTTCGCATCGTCGTCTGCAAGGTCCGGTTCATGCGTTCTGCTACCCCCTGCTGCTGGTGAGCATAGGGCAGAGACACCAGGCGTCGGATTCCCCTTTCCGCGAGATAGGTCCTGAAGCGTTGTGACTGGTATTCCAGTGCACCGTCTGACTGGAAACTCTTGAGTTTGGTTCCTGACTCTCGTTCGGCGATTGGAAGCCATGTGGTGAAGGCCTCGAAGGCTTGATCGCGCGTTTTGAGATTGAAGTGCCAGACGTATCTGGTTGCGGCGTCGATGAACGTGATGACGTAGTTGAAGTCGGCTTCGGTGTCGTCTCGAGGCATGTTTAGAATATCGCTGTAGACTTTTTCCATCGGAGCGTAAGTGGGTGCGCTTGGATTGTGATGGGCTTGGAAAGGTTGATGAGGAAGATCTGCTTCGGGGCATGTGAAACACCGTGCGCGTGGTCGTCGGAGTTCCTGGCCGTTCGTCGTCAGAAGGGCGTTGCGTTCTAACACCTCTGCTTGGATTGTTTGAAGTATCGTGCTGTTTGCAGGATGTCCGAGACGTTGGTGCCAGATGTCGTCGGGAGCGCGGTGGCCGGGCGAGCGGTGGTAGATGTCGGCGTTGGAGAAGAACGCGACGACTGAGGCGGGACTTCGACAAGCTTCTCGTGTGGCGGGCATAAGTTGGTCTGCTTCCGTTGGCGGTCCTCGTGTTGATGGTGGTGGTACTCGGCTGGGTCCTGCTGCTGATACTGCAGGTGATGGTTTTGTTGGGACACTTGCGGGTACTTGTCTTTCTTGTCTGATAACTTCTAATGCTCGTGTTCTCTCTGCTGCAGGTATGGTGTTGGAGTGCCAGAAGCCGTCACTGTCGAAGTCTGGGTCAAGATCCGGCGGGTGAGTCCAGGCGGCGAACGATACGATGCCATCGCTGTCGGCAGTTCCGCGGTCGGGGACGAAGTCCAACACGAAGACACCGGACTTCAGGAGGGCACGACCGATGAAGAGGCCGCCCTTCCCGTGGTAAAGCCGGAACTCGTTGGAGTAAGAGTCGCACTCCAGGTGAATCCCCTTGGCCATTAGTTGGCTTACGCTTAGTAGGTTGTATCCCAGATTGTCGACAATGAGCACCTTGTTGAGTTGAAGTATGACATTCGTCTCCATTGATTGTAACTGAACCACGCCCTGTCTGTTTGTCTTCAGGTTTTCGTTGTTGGCGACGGTGATGACGACGTCGCGGTTGAGTCGTTTCTCCTGTTGTACGAAGCGTCCCGAGGAGCACATGTGTTGACCGCAGCAGCTGTCCAAGAACCAGGTGTTTCGCCCGGTGGGTTCGGCGTTGGCGACCGCAGCGTATGTCGGGTTGACCTGAAGTCCTTGTGAGCGCGGCGGCGGGAATTCCTCTTCGTCTGGTGCGTAAGTGGGTGGTGATCTGGGTGCGCAGTTGTCGATGTGTACCATGCAGTTGATGATATTTGGTGTCCCTTGTGCAGATGTTGAAGAGCGCCTTGGGGAACTTGCTTGAGTGGAAGCAACTTGTGGGTCTGCTGCTCGGTAAACGCGAGGGCGGTTGCAGTTGACTTTGGAGTGTCCGGAAGTCTGGCAGTTGTGGCAGAACGGCGGCACGATGGTGAGTCCTCGGTTGTCGCGTTGATCTTGCTTGCTGCGTCGGTTGTAGTTTATGTCATTTCTTCTTTGAGTGTAGAAGACTAACTGCTGTTGCTTCCTTGGTTGTCTTTCCTCGAACAGATCCATCTCCTGTTGTTCAGCGTGAAGCTCGGCGCAGAGGTGCATCTCCGAGATCCTTCCGTGGGCGCGAAGAAGCGATCGTGTGGTTCTCCATTCTGGTCCGAGCCCGGCGAGGACAAGTGTGACGAAGCTTTCTTCAGTGATCGTTCCTCCGCACCGAAGCAGGCGGTCGCGCAGGGTCTGGCAGCGACTCATATACTGCATCGCCTTTTCCCCGGTCTTCATCTGTATTGTTGTCAGCTGTTGCATGAGTCTGCTTTGTGTCACGCTGTCGTTTGCTTGGTAGAGGCATTTGAGATGATGCCATGCGAGTTCCGCGGAGTTTCCATAACTCCGATACGTTCTGATGCTCTGCTGCTCTTGTGGTGACAGGTTCCGCAGGAGGACTGTATACGCCAGTAGCGACTGATACGTGAAGATCTCTTGTTCCTTTCCAGTGCCGTTGCTTGGGAATGGCAGGGACCCGTTGAAGTATCCCAGAAGATGCGCGGCCTCCATCAGCAGTTCGAACTCGAAGCTCCAGGTAAAGAAGTCGTGTCCGTTGAACGGTGAGGATGTTTGTAACTTGATGACGTGTGAGAATTGAGCCTGAAGACTGAGAATCTCGTTTGGTGTTTGTTGTGATGCAGCTGCTGTTGGTTGGGCGCGGGGCGGCATGAACTCGAACGTCCCCGGTGAAGAATGATAAGGCGCAAAGGTAGGTGCTTGGTTGTGTCGCCCGAAGGATGAGTTGTCGAGGCTCATCGGCGCTAATCCCATGTTTCCTCCATTGCTCTGTGTTGAATGCGCAGGTGTCCTTGTCTGCTGTTGCTGGTCGAAGTGTGACATGAAGCTGAAGAATCTCTCCATGAGATTCGGGTCCACACTTGAAGAGGGAGACGGAGTCACCATCTCTGGTACTCTTCCTGTTGTTTCTTGAGCAGTCCCGGTCTCTGTCTGCAATCCTGAGGTGTGCAGACCAGAGTTGCCGTGTTGAGTTTCTTGGCCGCTGGGTGAGCCCGTAGAGGCTTTCTTGCCCTTGCTGTCCATGTCTTGTAATCAATGAAGTCGTTGAATTGAGTTGAGTTGCAGTTTGTTGATGGAGCGTAGTTGCTGGGAGTTTGATCTCTGACCAGCTCTCATACCATGTTGGGCTGAGAAAAAGCCCTTAGGATCTTTTGCAGAGACTAAGTCCCAGCTTGTAGAGACTTGAGACTTGGAGTAGTGCAGCGGAAGTTGAGGCAGTTGAACCCTTGTACTAGTATGTGAGAACAAGTGATTGATTAAAGAAACAAGCATACAGCAATATATAGAAGATAAGAAAGCAGTTGTAGAATACAGTTACAGGAACGGTTTATCGAGTCGCACAGCGACTCGATTGCCGCTTCGGTTACCATCCGTGATGTTGTAACGGTCAGTCGCAACCTCCAGTTGCGACCTTTCGAGTCCTTTCGCATTCTTTGTCCGCCCCCTCGTGTAACCTCCGTTGACTCGCGTGCTCCCCTGTAATCTTCCTCGAGTACAGTGTTACACTTCAGAAACGCTTAAGTCCTTGAGATATTTCCAACAATTGTCTTATCCACAGGTGATGTTTGATTCATATATTTTCTATGTTACTACCCACTCGCGTTATTGTGATGGAACATTGTAGATCCGAGGATATGCCAGCTCTTTGAAAAGCGGCTGTTGTGTATCGTTTACGATGTCTTGTAATGGGCACCTTGAACCGGGGATTCAAGCTTCTCGTTTCGTGACGTGAGAAATCGGTTGAAACGATATGGTCAACGAGCTTCGGTGAGTTGACTCGTTCCCTTTATGCGTTGACTCAATGTTTGCTTTTGCCCATGTGGCTGCCGCTGCTTGGTTAATTTCTTGACGCCTGAGTCAGCGCGCGACCCGAGTGATGCATTTGCGAATCGCGATTTGAGTCCCGCTCGCGTCGCGATGAGGGTACAAAAAGCGGCAGGTTCTTTCGACATTACCAATTTCCCTTACAACACCACTCACACTTCAGAAAGGTACCAGAATCATATCATATTCTTGACACGCGACAACGAACTAGAACCCTCTCGCGGCAACTAGACTCCTCCTAACTTGGGAAATTCCCGCTGCAACGTCGGCAACACCAGCCGCCATGGCACTGGGATTCTCTCTCTCGCTTAGTCAGCATCGCCGCCGTACTATCCTGACTACTAAGGATGGTCATGATCGGAGCACCTGCCTTCTCCTCATCTCCCTCGTCCTGCTCTCGTCCCTCCACGCCGCCTTCGCATTTCGCTTCCCCGCGGGACTCCGCGTGGAAAAGCTGCGCGGAATGATGGGCGGAAATGCGCGAGGCGGACGATCGAACGGCCAGCAGCAGGGCAGCGGAATGGGCGGAAGCGCGATGGGTGGCGGGGGAATGGGTGGCGGCGGAATGGGAGGCAGCGGAATGGGAGGCGGTGGAATGGGCAGCGGCGAAATGAGCGGCGGCAGAATCGGCGGGGGAATGGTCGGCGGCGGAACGGGAGGCAGCGGAATGGGCGGAGGCGGAATTAGCGGCGGCGGGATGGGAAGCGGCGGAATGAGTAGCGGCGGGATGGGCGGCGGCGGCGGAATGGGCGGCGGCGGAATGGGTGGCGGTGGAATGGGTGGCGGCGGAATGGGTGGCGGCGGAATGGGCGGCGGCGGGATGGGCGGAGGAGGAATGGGCGGCGGCGGAATGGGAGACAGCGGAATGGGAGGCGGAGGAATGGGCGGAGGACAAATGGGCGCAGGAGGTATGGGGGGAGGCATGGGTGGCAGAATGGGAGGGCGCGGCTCGGGATCGTTTGCTCTAGGGTCGCAGGCAGCACCCGGACAGGGCGGACCTGGGATGGGCGGAGGAATGGGCGGACCTGGGGCGAGCATGGGTGGCGGCGGAATGGGCGGCGGTGGGATGGGCGGAGGTCAAATGGGCGCAGGAGGTATGGGCGAAGGCATGGGTGGCGGAATGGGAGGGCGCGGCTCGGGGTCGTTTCCTCCAGGGTCACAGGCTGCACCCGGACAGGGCGGACCTGGGATGGGTGGCGGAATGGGCGGACCTGGGGGGAGCTTGGGTGGCGGCGGGATGGGCGGAGGAGGAATGGGCGGAGGGGGCATGGGCGGAGGAGGAATGGGGGTAGGCATGGGTGGCGGAATGGGAGGGCGCGGCTCGGGATCGTTTGCCCCAGAGTCGCAGGTAGCACCCAGACAGGGCGGACCTGGGATGGGCGGCAGAATCGGAGGCGGAATGAGCGGCGGGGGAATGGGCGGCCCTGGAGGAAGCATGGGCGGACCTGGGGGTAGCATGGGCGGACCTGGGGGGAGAATGGGCGGACCTGGGGGGAGCATGGGCGGACCTGGGGGCAGCACGGGCGGACCTGGGGGAAGCATGGGCGGAAATGGGGGCAGCATGGGCGGACCTGGGTCATCTGCTCCCGGGTCAGACGCAGCCATGGGCCCTGGGGGGGGCATGGGCGGACCTGGGGAGGCCATCGGCAGACCTGGGGGGGGCATGGGCGGACCTGGGGGGCCCATGGGCGGAATTGGGTCATCTGCTCCTGGATCAGAAGCAGGCATGAGTCCCGTGGGGGGCATCGGCGGAGGCATGGATGGCGGTATGGGCGGAGGCACGGATGGTGGTATGGGCGGAGGCATCGATGGTGGTATGGGCGGAGGCACGGATGGTGGTATGGGCGGAGGCACGGATGGTGGTATGGGCGGAGGTACGGGTGGTGGTATGGGCGGAGGCATGGATGGTGGTATGGGTGGAGGCACGGATGGTGGTATGGGCGGAGGCATCGATGGTGGTATGGGTGGAGGCACGGATGGTGGTATGGGTGGAGGCATGGATGGTGGTATGGGTGGAGGCACGGATGGTGGTATGGGCGGAGGCATGGGGCGTTGAAGGGACGAGGAGAATACACATGGCCACAGTAGCGTCCTCATGTGCGTCAGATTGTGGCGTGTATCTATTTCTGTCAGACCTGGTAGGAGCTTGGCTGCAGCAGCACCTCCAGCCGAGTGCTTGCTGAGTGCTGCTTCGTCCAACCTCCTCACCCAATGTAGTCCTTTGGTGCCCTGCAGAGCATATAGGCAGAGTATTTGTGCTTGAATTCTTATTGGAACGGGTTACTGTTGACGATGGCATCTTCTGTTTTCCGAGAATGTGTATGCTTGTACCCAAGCTCGATAAAATCACGCAACATAACAATGGGCACCAAGCAAGTTACATGTTACGGAGGTCCAACTCTCTCCAGTGTGTCAAGCGTCTCGGCTGGTAACCACTTGAAGGCCTCAGGGGAAAGGACCCCCCCACCACAGAAGAAGGCACACTGCGGCTGTGCCTTCTCGCTGTCAGGGTCGCGGCATGAGACAGACGCTGGGTCCTTCTCCACCCCTGTTGCTGCCACAATGCTGCCATGGGGGATGTAAGGGGAGGGATGGACGGGGAAGGGAAGAGGTGAGGTGATGAGAGAGGAGCAGAGGTGGGGCGTGAATAAGAAGAAAGCCCGTTCTGGCTATGTCCTCTCGCTGTCAGGATCATTGCAGTTGACTTGAGTTGACTGACTCTGGGTCCTTTTCCACCCCTGTTGCTGCCACGATGCTGCCATGGGGGAATGGGAATGGGAGGATGGGAGGGGAAGGGATAGAAGGGCGAGGAAAAGGCGGGGTGATGAGGGGCCTCCTGGTACTTCACCAGCAGCAGCGCCCAGTACAGCATGCGCCCACCAGTACAGCACCACTCAACCCCTTTCGGGTACTCACGGCTTGGAGCACAGTTGGGTGGGTTGAGTCCCTACTTGTGGATCCGACAGCACGTCCTGGTACTTCACGAGCAGCAGCGCTCAGTACAGCATGTGTGCAGCAGAAGAGCACCCCTCAACCCTTCCAAAACTCACGGTTTGGTGCATAGTTGGCTGGGTTTGGTCACGGCTTGTGGATCTGACAGCACGTCCTGGTACTTCACCAGCAGCAGCGCCCAGTACAGCATGCGCCCATGCCACGTACACGCGAAATCCGCGAATCGATTCGCGGCTTCGACCATTCGTAGCACCGCCTTGTCATGGGACTGAGCCCAGATGATCGCCTCATCTAGGTCAGAGAAGCTGACGGACAGAGGGGTGGGGGGGAATGGGGAGGGGGCGGGGCGGGGTGGGGTTGTACGGAGGCTGCTTCGACCATTCGTAGCACTGCCTTGTCGTGGGACTGAGCCCAGACGATCGCCTCGTCTAGGAGTGAGAAGCTGACGGAGGCAATCCAGAGAGGGGCACATGGGGGGCGCAAAGGGGTGGAATAGAGGGGGAGAGAGGAGCGGGCTAAGCTGGTATCGACCATCAATAGCACCGCCTTGTCGTGCGACTGAGCCCAGACGATCGCCTCGTCTAAGTCAGAGAAGGTGAAGGACAGAGGGGTGGAGGTGAGGGAGGGAGGGGGGAGGTGGGGGGGGTGAGTAGGGAGGCTGCTTCTGCCATTCGTAGCACCGCCTTGACACGGCGAGCCAAAAGACTTCACGTTCGGGAGATGACGGGCCAATGCACTTATGTTAGGTACATAACATGCCGAGCCAATGACTTACGTTCGGGACGTGACGAGCCAGTGCACCCGGTCCTGCAGCAGAGGCTCGTAAAACTGCAGCATGGGAGTCTGCTGGCGAATGATGAGCTGGTTTGAGCGCAGAACGCCACAGGTGCGGCAGCTGCCCCCCCTCCATCCGCCACTATCTGGTTGAGGGAAGGAGGGGAAGAAAGAAAGAGCGGCGGAAGGAAGGTGGGTTGCAGAAGTGCAGCACGGGAGCCTGCTGGCGAATGATGAGCTGGTTTGAACTTTGAACGCAAGGACGCCACAGTTGCGACAGCCCACCCAGCCCCCATCTGCTGGGAATTCATCTTCTTGGCGAGCCGCAAGCCGTCTTTGATCATCCTCTTAACCACGTCCTGCTCCACCTTGGACCATGCGTTAACACGTGCATCCATCAGGTGAGATTGCCCCCTCTCCCCTCCTCCCCCACCCCCCACCCCCCACACACACCTGGTACTTGAAAGCGTTGAACTGCTGGAAGTTCATCTTCTTGGCGAGCCGAACGCCATCCTTCACCATCCTCTTCACCACGTCCTGCTCCACCTTGGACCACGCGTTGACCCGTGCATCCATCAGGTGGGGCGCAGCGGGCGACATCAGGTGTAGGCGTATTCTGGGATTCGCCCCCCAGTTGCCCTGTGCTAGGAGCTCGTAGTTGGTGGTCTTTCCACGGAAAACCGCCCGTGCTTCCTTCTTTTCCCAAGGAATCTGGGAGCACGGATGGTGGGGGAAAGAATGCGGGTTGGGGGGGGGGGGGGGGGGGGGGTGTTCCGGGAGGGGAAGGGAGAGGGTTGATCCACCTTGGACCACGCGTTGACACGTGCATCCATCAGGTGGGGCGCAGCTGGCGTGGCGACATCAGGTGTAGGCGGATTCTGGGGTTCGCCCACCAGTTGCCCGGTGCCAGGAGCTCGTAGTTGGTGGTCATGCCTCGGAAAACGGCGCGTGATTCCTTCGTCTCCCAGGGAATCTGGGAGAGTAATGGGGGGGGCGGGTTAGAGGCAGGCGACATCAGATCAGGTGCAGGCGTATTCTGGGGTTCGCCCTCCAATTGCCCGGTGCTAGGAGCTCGTAGTTGGTTCTTTTCCCGCGGAAAACCGCCAGTGATTCCTTCTTTTCCCAAGGAATCTGGGAAAACAAATGGTGGGGGGAAGAATGCGGGTTGGGGGGGGGGGGGGGTGTTCCGGGAGGGGAAGGGAGAGGGTTGATCCACCTTGGACCACGTGTTGACACGTGCATCCATCAGGTGGGGCAAAGCAAGCGACATCAGATGTAGGCGGATTCTGGGGTTCGCTCCCCAGTTGCCCAGTGCTAGGAGCTCGTAGTTGGTGGACTTGCTTCGGAAAACGGCGCGGGCCTCCTTGCGCTCCCAGGGAATCTGGAAAACAGAAGGTGGGGAAAAAACGGGGGGGGGGGGGGAGAGAGAAGGTGGGGTGTGAGGGGGACGGGAGGGGAGGGGAGAGGGTTGCTCCACCTTGGACCACGCGTTGACGCGTGCATCCATCAGGTGGGGTGCAGCAGGCGACATCAGGTGCTAGGAGCTCGTAGTTGGAGGTCTTCCCTTGGAAAACAGCGCGGGATTCCTTCGTCTCAAAGGGAGTCTGGGAGAGTAGTGGGGGGGACGGTTGTTAGAGGCAGGCGATATCAGGAGCCAGGCGAATGCGAGGGTTCGCCTCCTGGTTACCAGGGGCCAGGAGCCCGTAGTTGGTGGTTTTCCCTCGGAAAACGGCGCGGCATTCCTACTTCGCCCAGGGAATTCGGAGAAAGGGAAGGTGGGGGAAGAAGGGAGGGGGGTGGATCCGGGCAGGTGACATCAGACACAGGGTTGTTGATGGTGTCTGCAGTAAACCCTGCGCTTATGAAAGGCAGGTCTCGTCAATCCGGCAACAACTCACAGAAACATCGACACGCACAGAAACGCCCATGCTCTTGAAGGGACGGCCGCCTCTATCAGGCATCAAACTCTCAGAGACACGCACACGCGTGCCTGAGTGGAGAGGTCAGGAGTGTAGGGCCCGGTGGTGTCGAGCGGGTCAGGCACAGGAATGTCAAGCGTGTCCGCTGTAAAGCTTGTGCTCTTGAAGGAAAGGCCGCCCCTATCAGGCATCAAACTCTCAGAGACACGCACACGCGTGCCTGAGTGGAGAGGTCAGGAGTGTAGGGCCCGGTCAGATCCAGAAGGTCAGGCACAGGGATGTCGAGGGTGTCGGCTGTGAAGGCCGTGGTCATAAAGGGCAGGCCGCCTCTATTGGGCCAGTGCGAGCTGTGGAAGGACATGGGGTGGTCGCACGAGTCTCTACCAACAGAGCCCCCCACACGCATACCTGAGTGGAGAGATCAGGCGTGTAGGGCCCAGTGAGGTCGAGCGGGTCGGGCGCGGGGATGTCAAGGGAGTCGGCTGTGAAGCCCGTGCTCATGAAGGGGAGGCCGCCTCTATTGGGCCAGTGCGAGCTGTGGAAGGACATGGGGTGGTCGCACGCACGCACGTGTCTCTACAAACAGATCCCCTCACGTGCATACCTGGGTGGAGAGATCAGGGGGAGTACGGTACGGCCCAGTGAGATCCAGGGGATCACGCACAGGGATGTCAATGGTGTCCGCTGTAAATCCAGTGCTCTTTCGGGAAGGCCACGCCGCCTCTATCGGGCATCAAACTCTCAGAAACACCCACATGCATACCTGACTGGAGAGGTCAGGAGTGTAGGGCCCAGTGAGGTCGAGGGGATCAGGCACGGGGATGTCGATGGTGTCAGCTGTGAAGCCCGTGCTCATGAAGGGAAGTCCGCCCCTTTGGGGCCAGTGCGAGCTGTGGAACGACATGGGGTGGTCGCAGGTGTTGAGGAAGAGCTCGAGGCGAAGGGTGGTCAGGCGGTACTGTGTTACTGCGTCCTGGAACACGTTACACCAGGGGGGGAGGAAAGAGGGGGGAGAAGGAAAAGCAGAGGCAGGAGCTGTGGAAGGGCATGGAGTGGTCGCACGTGTTGAGGAACTCGTTGCGAAGGGTGGTAAGGCAGTACTGTGTTACTGCGTCCTGTGGCAGGGGGAGGCATGGGAGCATGGATGGCGAGAGGGGGAGGAAGGAGAGAAGGCAGGAGGTAAAGGTTACTGGCAATTGCGTATCTTACCTGTTGAAAGAGTCTATGAGAGGGGGCTGTTGAAAGCGGTTGACTGGCGTTGACTGACCTGCAGCATCTTTGACTGGCGTTGACTCACATGGAGCATCGTTGACTGGCGTTGACTCACCTGCACCTCTTTGACTGGCGTTGACTCACCTACACCTCTTTGACTGGCGTTGACTCACCTACACCTCTTTGACTGGCGTTGACTCACCTACACCTCTTTGACCGGGTTGACACACCTGCAGCATCTTTGACTGGCGGTGACTCACCTGCAGCATCTTGATCGTTTGGAGGAATCTCCCCAGGCGGTAGTAACGATTCCAGAAGCCACCGTAACGAAAGTACACTTTGCCATCAATCACCTGCCATTAACGAAAATATATGTTGCGCTGAAGAAAAATTCCATATTGTGTTGTTAAGATTAGCATTGTGAAAAGCGAAACTTCAGACAGCACGAGGCTTGGCCGTACCTTGACGTGGCCGGAGCAGGACATGAGGTTCGGTGAAACACTGATGAATTTGAGAGCCTCGGGCGTCACAAAGCCTCGGTGCCCCAAACCAGTGCTGATGTTCTGATCTCAGGGGAATGGCATGCAAGGAGATGGCATGCAACGGGAGAGGGCATGCACGGAGACAGCATGGGGATGGGGAGATGATAAGGGGTGGGATGAAACACGGGAGGAGGAAGCAAAGATTCTGTAAAAGGAGCAAGGGTAAGGAACGTGGAAATGGCATGGCATGGCATGTTATGGCATGGGGTAAGCACTCACCGCAATTGGTCGCCATGGCTCCAGGTATTTGTGAATCAGCTTCACGTACTGTCTGGCTCCTGGCTTCTTCAGAGCCTCCTGTAGCTTGGGGTATTCCGGAATGCGCCCTAACAAATCCCTCTCCGCCGATTTGAATACCCCCGGAGGGAGCTCGCATACTCTCTGCCTTGCTTTGGCTCCTCCTCCCCCCTCCCCCCTATCCCTTCCTTCCCCTCTTCCCTCATCTCCTAGTGCACCTATCTCTCCTTTCAGCTTCTTAATTTCTATCCACAAGTCCAAACCTGCTAGAAGGCCCACTAGAGCCAGCCCCGTTATAAGCACAACTATCGCGGACCCTTGGTCTCTGTTTAAACGCGGACAGCAGGAGCAGACATGCCATCGCGATCTCCCCCCACCACCGTCTCCACCCGCGATATAAGCAGTCCCACTCTTAGAAATAGGGGATTTTGCAGCAGACGCTTTACTAGCAGTCCCGATAACGTTGCGTGTTCCTTGCGTACTGTATGGACTCTTTCCATCAGGGGAAACGCTTGCGTTGCGACCGGACCCGTCGGTATAACCAGGGCTCCGAGCATCTGGGGAACGAGCATTTCGTTCCGCACCTGATTGTGCACTATGCGGATCATGAGAATGTCTATGTCGCGGATGGCCGTGATCTTCCGGTACCGATCGCTCGCTATTGTCGCATGCCAGCCCTGCGAGCTCAGCTGCGTTAGCAGCCGTCGCCTCTGGCCGAGGCAATCCAGTCGTCGTGACCGTCGGATGCGGATGTGATCGACGGTGCGGACCTGCCACGAACTTCTTTCCGAACAACATGCCTCTCCTCAGCACTGAAATAAAGCACAATATTACCGTTACGACACTCGTCGCTCACAGCAGCTTGTGCTAGGACACACAGTCACTGATCACTATGATCCAATGGTCATTCATCCATTGGCTCAGTCCTGTGCACACAGCCATAGATTCTTCCGATGAATTCGGTATAGGTCATACAGGGGCTATCTGGTTCAGGCGACAACTCCAGGCTGGTGGTGGTAGGTGGGGCCCTCTAGATCTCACGGGGTTTGTAATCCAATCTACAAAATTACATGATGATGGATATTTGGCGAAAAAGTCAGGGGCATTTCTCTCAGCTCGAATAGGGTTAACGAATCCTGACGAGAAGAGTATTTTCACGAAGTTTCTCGTTGGACAGCCGTCACCGCGGCTGGCGGTACCTCCCCAGCTGGTTCGTTCGCAGCCACGGAGTTCAACAAACCATGCCAGACCTGGCAGCGATAGGTTCGGACTGACATCAGACTTTCAGACCAGCAGCCTCCCCCCCACATCACAAAACCAGGCCTCGGCTCTCCAAGGCGTGTTTACGACTGTTGCTGGACACTCCGATGTCAGAATCGAGGCTTGTCGATCCCCCAGCTGCTATCTTTCTGGGTTTCAGAAGAGGGGAATTCAGCTGGCGAGCGTCCTTATTGCTCGTCATAGTCACGAGCCTATATTCTCCATAATCATCAGCTTATATGTTGTAGACGAAACTGTCAGCAAGTCAAGCAAATTGTTTGTAACTGAATTATGATCCGGAGGCCGCGTGTTTACTTTGCAACACGCCCTGAAGGACGTGTTCCATAAGTATGTCCCGCTTGCGTAGAATACGGTGGTGTACGGTGTGACACGTTGAGAAGCGGTGATTCACCACTTGGAATGCATTCCTGTTGTATGCCATAGTTGCTTCTACAATTCTATCTGAGCCTCTTGAGTCACGTCTTATCGCAAAGCTACGCTCCTTCGTCGTCGCTGTCAGCTGCTCCCCTGCTGCTCCCCGCTGTCCACGCTTGACGTAGCCGGCCGGCTCTAACAATACGTTCAGGCTGCTGGCTTCGGATTGTGCCGGTCCACCGTTCACTCGGCGGTTTGACGTTCGCACGCCGCTCAGCCGGCGGATTGACGGTTAGGTCCTCTCGGTCTCCGGTTCGTCTTGCTGTTTTCGTCACGACAGGCTCCCGATGAGTCGTAGCGCAAGGAGGAGGCAACCGATGAGTTGGAGTAATTCCTACAGGGGGTGACTTTTGAGTCGACTCACACTTCACTCCAATGAGCTCGAGTACTTTCTACAGGGGGAACTATCACGAGCAAGCATTGATACATCCGATGAGTGTTAATGACTCGCAGGTACTCCTTCCGACAGCGGGAGCCATCATCGCGTTTCGAGACCCCTCAAAGTTCGATGCGAGCTAGTAGGTCACAAGTAGTAGTAGTTCCGACAGCTGGGATCATCACGAGCGAACATCCATTGAGTAGCAAGTAGTACCGTCAGCTGGAGTCATCACGGACAGGCGCTCCCCGCTTTTGTAGGCGCAGCACGGGCCAGGAGCGAAAACGCGGGAAAAATCGGGAACAAGTACGAGATTCCAGAATTCTTCAGCCGTTTTTATATCGCGGAACGTGGCGCGTTCCGATTGGCGCTCCCCGGGTCCTCCTGAGAGCTAGTCATGGCGGGGCTCGTCTGTCCCGTGTGCGAGGGGGTCAACCTGCCGTCGCTCTGCTGCGACTGCGCCAATCGCGTGTAAGTCAGAGAGTGCGGTGGGAAGGGGTGATGAGGAGTTGTGTGGTATTTTAAGAAGGCTAGAAGCTCTTTGAGGCGTCTCAAATTCTGCCATCGCTCTGCCGTGAATGCGACAATCGGGCGTGAGTCTTAGTCAATGGAATTAACCATGGGCCATAGGCATGATTACTCGTTCACCTGCCGTCGCTCTGGTGTGGCTGACTCACCAGAATGTGAATAGTTTTGATGGAAGGAACCATGCGGAGGAAGTAACCATGGTGACATGTGTAACCAGTTCGTTTCTGGGAATTTCATTGATTATGTGTTCCAATCTATCTGTCTGAGAGCTCGCATGGACGAATCATGCTGTTACTTCTGCCATCTCCATCTGCAGCCAGCATGTGCGCCGGCAACACCTGGAACGCCTCCAGCATCGGAGGGACCACCTGAGGAATCACCTGGCGGCTGCACTAGAGGCCCAGGTGCGTAGGTGTCGTGTGCTATGATGCGTCTGTGTGGTGTCTGGTGTTTCTGGCAATAGCACAGACGCAGGGGCTCGTCTTGTGCTATTCATGCAAGGCTATTGTAGCCTTGCATGTGCACTGTTTGGCGAGACACTCGTTCCCCTCCGTTATTTCCCCTGATTTGCCTCCCCCTTCCTGTTGTTCCTTCTTTTTCTATCTTCACTTCCGTCTCCCGCTTTTCGCCTGTCGTCCCTGATCCGCATCTGCTTCGTTACGTCACTTTGCATTTGTAATACCTATCTGCATACCATCAGGGCGTGCAGCATCAATGGCTGTCTGCATTTGTAATACCTATCTGCATACCATCAGGGCGTGCAGCATCAATGGCAGTCTGCATTTGTAATACCTATCTGCATACCATCAGGGCGTGCAGCATCAATGGCAGTCTGCATTTGTAATACCTATCTGCATACCATCAGGGCGTGAAGCATCAATGGCAGGCGCGGGAAAGGGAGGCGAAGGAACGGTGCAAGTGGCTACGGGAATCCGTTGAAAGAGAGCGAGCACAAGTTGCAGAAGGTGGGCGACGGTGGAGTTCACTATCAGAGTACTTCTTATAACGGGGTCTGCTTGAGAGAGAACGTACTCTGTAGGTGCAAGGCAGAGGGTAAGAGGGGTTAGAGAGTTGGCTTGGAATTTGGAAAGCACCTAGACACGCGGTGAAAGCAGAAGGGCGCATTCAGGAACTCAAGTGGCAAAACGTAGAAGAAGAGGAGGGGAGGCAGGCGGAGGAGGAAGAAGGGGGGGAGAGTGGTGTGAGAAAGTGATATGAGGGTGCGGAAGGAATGTCAGAAACTGGACGATGTGGGTAGACTTGCTTTGTCACTGTGCTGTTGCGTCCATGCTTTGCGTTTTCGAGTCACGCTATTCTTGCATCTTGCCCTCCCCCCGCTTCCCCCACCTCCCCCCCTCCCCCGCCCTTCCCCTCTCCCTTCTCCCCCCCCTCCTCCTCCCCTTCACCCCCCCCTCCTTTCCCCCTCGCCCCATAGATAGCATGCGTTTGGAGCAGCTTCGTTTGCAGTGTAACTCCAGACGATCCCTCCTGGCCCATGCCAATACTGTGGTGAGTGAGCGTTGCGAGGTCATTGGTCCATTGGTCTCGCTCCAGACGACCCCTCCTGGCCCATGCCAATACTGTGGTGAGTGAGCCTTGCAAGGTCATTGGTCCATTGGTCTCGCTCCAGACGACCCCTCCTGGCCCATGCCAATACTGTGGTGAGTGAGCCTGCCATTCCTACCAGTCTTGATGCCCTTGATGCCAGCAGCCAGATCCCTTTACTGATGAAGCAACCAAGCTCCCGTTGTCCTTTCCTATCATAGGCATGCCCGTCTACTCTACGCCACGCCTTGCCACGTTGTGCCACGCCAAGCTCAATACAAGCATGGTGCGCCCATGCTTGCAAGGGAGCACATGCTTCTTTGAGGCTTCTTTATATGATCTGAGCATATGCGCACGCGCACTGCTCCCTTGGCGTCTCCCATTCTGTGGCGCCTCAAGGCAAGGAGAAGTTCGACAGGGGAGGCGGCATAACGTTCTCTGTGGGGATGATGTCGCTCGGTTGGCTGCGCTGCGCTCACCCTCGTCGCGAATTTCGGTGTACTGCTTTGTTTGACTTACAACGTCATCTCAATTTGGCAGCGGCAGGCAGCACGCCAAACTTCACGATGAGAGCGAGCGCAGCGTGCGGAGCCACGTTATCCGCACGAAGGATGTAGCCTTCCTGTAGAAAATCTCTGAAAGTCTCCTTCACTTTGTGTCATGCTGGATGGACCGTGAATCCGTGATGGACGAAAACGGGGTCACCCACTTCCGGCCCATCCAGCCCATCCATCCGTCATTCACTTCCGGCTTGCGTTCCGCACGTGTCTCTCGCTCCCACAGCTGGCCAATTGAGGCGCATTTTGATCCAACTTGTAGCATCAATACTTGTCTTCTCTACTTCTTATCGCGTTTACACTTTTTTTTGCTCCCGCAGCTACCCAATTGAGGTGTATTTTGAGTCGACTGGAAAACTCGCTCCATGTTTCCACTGTTGCCTTTGCACGTGTCTTGCTCCCACAGCTGGCCAATCGTAGGGTAGCGCTGTTGCAGACAGGCTCCGCAACAGCCCTTGCCGCTGCAGTGACTGGCGCCGGGGGAGGTAGATTAGGGGCAGGTGGCCCTGGGGCAGGTGGGAACGGTGGTGCAGTGGCAGGAGCAGGGGCAGGGGCAGCAGGTGGAGCAGCATACGGAGTGGCTGCGGCGGGAGTGAGAATGGGAGGGGGGGCGCTGGGAGGCGACTGGGTTAATCTGCATGCCCTTGTGAATCTGCAGGCAAGTATTTTGCATTGGCCCTTCTCGGTTTTTTTTTTTTTTTTTTTTTTTGGGGGGGGGGTGGAATTTTATTAAGTCAAACCCTACAAGTTGGAGCGTTGGGAGGTGATTGGGCTAATCTGCGTACTCTGTCGAACCGGTCGTCATTGACATGTCCCTGTTTCCCTGTGGCATTGACAGTCCCTGTTTCCCTGTGTCATTCTTTGTGATTCACCAGGCGAGAGCAGAGGAGTGTGCAGGGAGCGCTGAAGTCAGACCAACCACTCTGCCTGAAACGCACTTGGAGTGCCTTGACAAATGCTGCTCTATTCCCTGTGCTCTCCATGTGTCATTCGTCGTGCTTCACGCCCTGAGAGCAGAGGATTGTGCAGGGAGCTCTGAAGTCAGACCAACAGCGCTGCCTGAAACGGCTCAGAGACGTCTTCCCTCTCAAACAGGTGCGCGCACGTTTTGTTTTGAAGCGTCGCAAAGTTAGTCTTTTTTCACATGAAGTCAGTCAGTTGTTTGAGGCGCCTCAAAAATATTTTTTCACATGAAGTCAGTCAGTTGTTTGAGGCGCCTCAAAGATCGTTTTTCACATGAATCAGTCAGTTGTTTGAGGCGCCTCAAAAATCTTTTTTCACATGAATCAGTCAGTTGTTTTAGGCGCC